CTAACCCACTGACGAGAATTTACACCGTGTAATGTATAATTAATGTATATATGTATTAAAAAGACATCAGAAGTGACATTGGAATACTTACCGACGACATAGGTCATAGTGAATAGTTGCTAATATTCGCGAGCGTTTTCATTTCGGTGAATTAGCAAATGCATTAAATCTCGCGATATTAACCTTCTCGTAATTTTTTTCTTCAGTCGTGGACATATAGATCTACGTTTCACAAGTCGCCCTCCCATCAGACCAAAATATACAAGTAATTGTTTAACCCCCTAACTTCCGACATTTTTACTGATTGTGACGTCGGGAAAACCGTCATATCTTCTTTATTTCTTTTTTCGCGTGGAACTAGAGAACATGCTTAACAACTTGTGTTCGAAGTAAATATTGATCTGGTAAATATGTCGTGCGCTTTTTGCGATTTGAAAATACAAGGCAATTTTACCCGAACATCTTGGATTGATGACGTCGTGCGCACGGTGTACGTAAATGTCTATTCGCGGGTCCCGTTTGTGAGGCACATAATTATATGTTCATATAGAACGAGATATTTCACTCGAATTTCAATACATTAATATCTAATATCCAAAATGCGTCTGTGTTGATAAAGAAGCTGTTGAAATTTACGTTTTATAAACATGTCTCTATTTACGATCGTTGCCGAATCAAAGTCGGAAATCCTTTAGACGTTTCCGTGAGATGAAACATTTACAATAAATCAGGTAGCAGTAGGTTTAGATACCATTGGTCACACCATGTTAAAAAAAACCACAGAAAATACAGTTGTTTACCCTCTCTCTTTAATTTTCCGTTCATCTCTAGCCACTGGATCCTTCAACATGCTGAAGTGATGCCATATTGTTAAAAAAAATGACAAGTATAGTCCTTCAAAATATTGCTCTGTTTAGTACTATTGGTAAAGGTTTTGAAAGTCTAGTTGTTAAATTTTACATGAACATCTTTTAGAAAATTCATTCACAAATTTCAGTCAGGTTTTCAACCAAGACATTCCCCTGTATATCAGCGAATTCAATCTATCATCATATGTATAAATGATATACGAAAAGAAATAATTTCGCTGAAAACAAATACTTTTTTTTCAGTTTCCTATTATATTTTCTGGTGGTTGACTAAACTGTTAATTCTGTTATACAAAGCTTTTCTGATGTAATAAAATTTGGGCAGACCAAAATAGAATTGCTAATCTCGACAACATGAAATATTCGAAAATGAACTAGTAACCATGGCAACAACCATAAATTAGTACATTTCTGGCATATACATATCATAAGGTTATTCCAGAAGTTCACAAAAATCTGAAATTTGAAAACAAAAGATAATAATTGAAATAATAAGTCAAATTATCAAAGCTTATAAATAAAGTTAGATAAGATCTTTGTCCCTTTTTAACGCCCTCTCCCCCATCCATACAATGTAGTTATTGAGGGCAAATGCCATAATTATTTTCCTCTGCTTCGCCTTCTTGTGCTCCAGCCATTTTATTTTGAAAACAAATGCTGTGTCACACCTTACGGGGGACAAATTCATGTGATCCGGAAGAGTACTTTTTTAGTAAACGTCTTCTGCTTCATCGACGACACCTGCCATGTAAACCTTGACCAATGCAAGTAAGTAATGCCACGTTCTCAAATGAGAACAAAGTATACAACAACGGAACCAACAGGCAAACTAACGAGCGTTAAACACGTCAAGCTCATGTCGCACAAAGAAATAGAATATTCCTCAATGAGATCACTATGGCAACGATAAAATTTCCCCGTAATTTCCATCAACCTGCATCATTTGAAAACCTATTTTATGAGTTTGTCCGTCAGTTCACGACTTCTTGCACGGGAATCGTGACAATGGAAACAGGCAAAGTCCAAAATAGGAAGCCCTGATTTAGGGGATTAATATGCAATGCGCATGTTTATCGATTTATCATTCAGTGTCAATACGTGACCAATGACTCGTCACGTGTATGACACAGTTTAGATTAAAAAGTGCTCAACAGTTCGTTTTTTTAAACAAATCTTCAAATTTTCACTTAGATATACATCAATCAGTTCTAACACATGTATTGTTTCGGAACTCCTCTAACATGTGTATAACCTCTATGGAGATCCAACTTCTTTTATGTGTATTTACAAATTATTTATGGAAATAAGAACATCGTGGGTATTGATGAATACCCGTAAATCACTTGTTAATATCCCACAATGAAATTGAATTATGTATATTTGTAAATCGATTAATGCATATCCATAGTTAGTGATTTTTAGGCTAAACGTACTCAGTACGAAAAGCCTATTGCGACGGCCTTACAGACAAAATTTACCGATCCTGGCCTTCTCATTGGCTGAAATATCGAAAAGAGTTAGAGCACCCTAGCGGCAATTTTCTGCATAAATAATGCCGCGATCTTTCAAAATCGCTATTTTAAAAGCATCCACAATTAGTTTATTTTTTAAATAACAATACGATAACTATATATTTCAGAAAAGAAGCACAGTGTGGTTAAACTATTGATAAATTTTGAACAATATATTTTACGGAATTTGCTCACGGACATTCCCGACCTCTGCTGCTGAAGAAGATCGAGCTGACATGATTCTTATCGCCTGCTGTGAATATTCCTAGAAAACAACCATATTTACCGTAAGTAACCAAAAAACGGTTCCTTGTATCTTCAAAGTTTATTGTAACTGCATTACTTGATTTACAGTGTATTAATTGTATGGCGGAGCTTATGAATCATTCTCAACATGACGTAAGCGTACAGAATACTGTACGTGCGAGTTGGCGCCATGATAAGAAACTAGTCTGGAGGCTTGGTTTGAATTATCAAATAACAGAACTTATAAACAAACAAAACTTACAAACAGGACTCCAATTTTGCTTTAATCCTTGTCGTTGTGGCAAGATCGTCTTAATATATAACATCACTTTACCTCATTGGACGTCACAAAATTGGACTGTTCGTCCCACGCGCACACCCGCCGATATGACACTTTTTCAGGTTTTTCACACAAACCGCCATGACACTTTTCAAGTTTTTGAAGATAAAAAGTTTGCGCTTCGTAGGCAAGGTCCATTTGGTGCTCATGATTTATGAATAATATATTTTTAATACTGTACTGATCATGATGTTGACTTTGTTGTCTTTTAGTTTTATTTGGTGAAGGTTGATTGTGCTGCTTTCTCAAGGTTTGTTAATGTGTATCAGAGTTCCTTGAAATGAAAATATTCCTTCAAACAAAGCGCGTATAAAAAAACCAAACATATTAATGTTTATAATTATCAATTAACTAGAACGAAATATTTCCATAACATAGTTATTCATTTTGCGTGTCATGGTGACATTATCTAATGCATTGGAGATCAGAAATAGTAGTAGCTATAGTGAAAATATTATAGATTTTGTATATCTATGAAAGTCTGGTTTAACCTCATAGAACTGTGTCGTTATAGATATATTTACTGGAAGAAAAGTCTAACCATGATACTTCAAGGAAGATAGGCATGTAAATACATTTGATGTAATTACTTACACTTTTATCTATCTGAAATGCTGTGTAGACCTTATCTAGTTTCCTCAACTACAAATATAATTATGATAAGTAAGGACTATTACTTTGCAATACATTTAAAATAAAGAAGTAGGTATAAAGTCCTTTCGATTTGTCTAAATCCTCATATTGATAGGATAGTAATTGCAACATCTTGGGTATTTCAAAGGTTTTATTCTGTCAACTTCATTATAGAGCTATTTATCATGTGGCTTGTTGGCGATAAATATATGGTTGTGTATTTTGTTATTTTTTTAACCTATTTTGTCGTCAAATTTGAAATAACAATTAAAGAAGATATAAAATCACTAAAAATTAAGAAAAATAGCCTCTGGTTCTCTTATTTTAGTAATGCTTGCATTCCAAAGTGTAGGAGTATGGGGAAAGCAGGGCCTTCATAATATGTTATATATAGTTTTACTTGACCTTATCGAACAAAGAAACTATGCGAAACCAGTCATCTGATGTGATCTTTCCGAATACCATCTCGCGGTTTTCATTGTTTACAAATTCATTTGCAACATCAACTGAATTAATAAATGCAGTCGCCTCGTTGTGGACATGAAGTAGCATGCAGTTGTTCAGACGTTGTTGTGTCATTGTTGATCGCAGATAGGTTTTGATTCTGCGCAATGCTGATGCTGACCGTTCACTCACAGCATTGGTTGCTGGTATCAAAAGTAACAATTTCAGAAGTTTTATCGTGCCTAGTAATGATTTGCAATTTAAACTTACTATTGTCATCATCACAATTTGAACAATTTTACAAAAAAATGGTTGAAAACAAAGTTTTACTTGTATTTTAGCTTTTAAATTTGCACCCAAACAATGCTAAAATCCGCCAGCTTAAGGGGCTTCGCCCCCTGGTCACCCACTTTGCCCTGTACCCAGTGGGGGGCCTAAAGGTGCCCTCCAGACCCCCTGCCTTAATTATGTATGTTAGCCTCTCAGTACTTTCAGTACTTTGATTTCTACTTCGGCTTGCCACACATTTTAGCACTTTATGTTCCTTTGATGTGTTCGCTTTTCTAGTCGTTTTTATGAGTTCTTCCATATACGTATATCGGAGGTTAAATTTTCCGTGTTGTATTTAGACAAAAAATGTCATATCAATGTGACGTTATTTGGCACTTTGTCACTAGTTACAATGTACTTATACATTTACGTTGTATCTACACAAAGCTATAGAACAGGAACCTGTGGTGGAAAAACAGCATCCCTTTTCAAATAAAACGTTTTCATCTTTATTTGATGGATTTTTCTTTTCTTTTCTGGGCTTAACGCCTTGTTCCAGTAATAACCGAGCCTAGGACACTTAGATGGATATAAACTCAGTTGTGGTCTATATATTAGGGTCATTATATAACAGGATCCGGAAGTCATCATGAAATGAGTCACATGACTGTCACATGGTTTGAAAGTCTTGTGACTTCTTGAGAACATCACACAAACAACTGAACGTTAAGCAGATATCAAATTACAGAAGCGATAAAAACCGATAACTTCTCAGCTATCAATCCAGCTTGAAAGACAGGTAATTATAACAGCTAGCATACAATCGGTCAAAAGCGAACAACTCACCTGTAAGATATGCGACAGTGGACTTGTTGTGGATGATTGTTTCAACACGGATTTCATGCTTCACCTGTGTTTACGAATCGGGGTGGTCCAGCTGAAAAAACGTACTTTCCCATTTTGTTGAAAAGTGATAAGATGTAGGGAAAACATGTATTCCTAGTCAATAAATACAACTATGGCAAGACATGTTTATACTTTACCACTATCGTGCGTCCTTTGTATATCCATAGGATCACTTTTAGAAGAATGTCTCGTATGATTTTTATCTTGTTTGGCTAATAAGTTAACCATTTTCCGAAAGCAAATAAAAGCATAATAAAAGTAAAAATGGATGAAGTTATTTAAATCATATGTAATATTTACAGAATTACAGATGAATAAGAATTGAAAATTTAATGTCTTTAATGTCTAGCTGCAATATAACACTAGAGCAGGGGTGTGGGAAAATATCTTAAGGCACAGGACTAGTGGACAGAAAAATTTACTCCTCCAGATTGGAAATTTACTCATCCAAATTCAGCCATGAAATGGCAAATTAATCAGCGTGGATGTGACATGTGACTTTTTTTTCTATTTTCATTTTAAGTTTTAGTGAAAAAAACTATGCAGTGATTGCTGCTTTACGTCAGACATTGTGTGCGACTTAGGCCTAGCCGTAGTGTTTGTTTATATAATACTGACTAGGTGCTGCTAAATACAGACCGGTACATGTTGGTACCGCCCGAGAGCACCTGACATTAGTATGACCGCGGAAAAATGACTAAGGTATTCTGAATGCTATATTTGACGTCATTGGAGTTCCGGTGTAATCAAAAGTTAGAGCGCAGACTGGAATATTTTGTTTTCTAAGTACCATTAACACGTCCTACGGATGACTGACAAAAATAAATCTGGTTGTCCTAGACAATTTTCATTCGTCCATGACGATCGGACGAGTGCTTTTCCGAACCCCTGCACTAGAGAGAACTTCTCTTTAGCTCGATTGGTAGAGCGTCAGACTAGTAAGCCAGGGGTCCCGCGTTCAATTCCTAGCAGAGGCACTGAGATGAAAAATGACCTGTTACATTTGCTCCCATGTAGGGACCAGGGAATAGTACTTAGCCATGCCCCACCAGCATCGCTGTAACCCATGAAAACTTGAGGAGGAGTTATTTCTTGGAGGGGGAGTACGTAACCCTGGTAAAATACTAAACACAACATACCACTCGGCTAGGGAGAACTTCTCTTTATCTTGATTGGTTGAGCGTCAGACTAGTAAGCCTGGGGTCTCGGATTCGATTCCTAGCGGAGGCATTGGAATATATAATGACCTCTGTTACACAATAGAGATGTAAGAACTACATCAACTTAAGGAAGTCAGAAGTTTGTATCGCACAATGACATTTTGCACCTTCATCAGACAATTCACACCAAATTGAAAATTCAGAAATGATATTTCACCACCAATGAAAATACATGTTTGCCTAGGAAATTGTTATATTAACTAATATCGGTTAAAAGAATGTTTAAGAAACTAACATATTTTGATAGATATTAGATATAGTAATTTTAGTAGTTAAAATTGAATACTCAATTTTAATAGTAAAGTTTTTCACATATTGTTATATATTTGCAGATTTTTTTTCTGTTTGGCTTTTTGTTTGATAACAAATATTGTAAAAAATAAATGTAAATACTTTGATCATTAATGGAATCTTTATGCTTGAATTTGTTCAGTGCATTGATGATATACCTGTTGATGTCAAATTATTTCAGGTTGTTTGTGAGAGATAACTAAACATTCAGCCATTAATACATGCAAAGTCTTGTGCCTGTTCAATACAAAATAAAGCACTATGGGGACCACGCGTATATATCCTTGTAAGTTTAAATGGAATGTCATTTCTGAAGAAGTACATGGTAAATGTGGAATGACTAACCGATCAATCTCGGTTAGGGATATTTATTTACTTTCATTGTAAACACCATGGGAAACCATGTAAATAGACTTAGCTATACCCATAATAAGACAGATAGGGTGCAAACAGTCTTGTCACTGGGAGGGAAACCTTGTGGTACGGATGGTGCTGGGGGAAGGAGATAGGGTGCAAACAGTCTAGTCACTGGGAGCAAAACCTTGTGGTGCGGATGGTGCTGGGGGAAGGAGATAGGGTGCAAACAGTCTTGTCACTGGGAGCGAAACCTTGTGGTGCGGATGGTGCTGGGGGAAGGAGATAGGGTGCAAATTGTCTAGTCACTGGGAGTGAAACCTTGTGGTACGGATGGTGCAGTGGGAAGGAGATAGGGTGCAAACAGTCTTGTCACTGGCAGGGAAACCTTGTGGTACGGATGGTGCTGGGGGAAGGAGATAGGGTGCAAACAGTCTAGCCACTGGGAGCGAAACCTTGTGGTGCGTATGGTGCTGGGGGAAGGAGATAGGGTGCAAACAATCTTGTCACTGGCAGGGAAACCTTGTGGTACGGATGGTGCTGGGGGAAGGAGATAGGGTGCAAATTGTCTAGTCACTGGGAGTGAAACCTTGTGGTACGGATGGTGCAGTGGGAAGGAGATAGGGTGCAAACAGTCTAGTCACTGCGAGTGAAACCTTGTGGTACGGATGGTGCAGTGGGAAGGAGATAGGGTGCAAACAGTCTAGCCACTGGGAGCGAAACCTTGTGGTGCGTATGGTGCTGGGGGAAGGAGATAGGGTGCAAATTGTCTAGTCACTGGGAGTGAAACCTTGTGGTACAGATGGTGCAGTGGGAAGGAGATAGGGTGCAAACAGTCTTGTCACTGGCAGGGAAACCTTGTGGTACAGATGGTGCAGTGGGAAGGAGATAGGGTGCAAACAGTCTAGCCACTGGGAGTGAAACCTTGTGGTACGGATGGTGCTGGGGAAGGAGATAGGGTGCAAACAGTCTAGTCACTGGGAGTGAAACCTTGTGGTACGGATGGTGCTGGGGGAAGGAGGTGAATGCGAATGAGTTTGAACCTGGTTGGTTTCAAAATGTCAGGATACCCTGGTTTACTAACCTTTTACAAATCAGAGAAAGTCTACCATGATGAGGCAGTATGAGTATTTAGTTAGATTTAAACATCTTTTATTTTAACAAAGTTATTTGCAGGAAAAGTTTGTCCTAGAGTTGAATGGAGTTGCTTATAGAGTAGAACTTAATCTTATTTGTACATGTGTTATAGTTGAAAACAAATCATTTTCTCCAGCGAAAAAAAGTGGTTTTCTTTGAATGAAGAAAATATACATCACAATCAAAGGGGCATGACACAAGTTTCTGAAGGACAGGGGCTTGTGTAGTATTATAGTATTTATACTGAGAGGAAAAGGAAACGCAATTAGGAATTTCCAGATCAAGTACGGGAAATAGAAAAGGGTTTTAGAATGTAATTATGGTGTAACTGGAAGATAGTTGACCACTCTCTCATCAACGAGAATTTCATTTGTGTAGGTTAAGTAAACCTTTTAAAGGTGGGGTTCCAGCTAATGTTAAAATTCCCATAGAAACCACCCACACCTGGATTTCTTTCAAACTTCACATGTTTGTAGTACTATAAAAGGCAATACTAACAACACACTTGATTTTTCATTTTCCACATTAGAAAGGCCCAAAGGGCCCGCAAAATCAGAAAAGTGACGACATGTAAAAACATGCAACCACAACATGTTTTCATGCAATCTGTTTCATCAATTCTTGTTTTTTTCTCTTCTTGAAACATAATTCATGATAAATATATGAAATCTGTACTGTTTTCTTGATGCAAGGAATGTTTAAGAGGCGGAAATAGTGATTTTTCGCAGTTTTGAAAACCATGATGTCGCCAAAAATGTCAAAATTTTCCATGTTAAAAATTTTGTTCACCATATAATTTAAATAAAAATTAGCTCAAATATGTGTTACACCACCAGGTAAAATTTGAAAAGAATCGCATTACTACTGCCTGTCTGAATGCTATCCTTGGCCGAATTTACAACCCATCTGCTGCCCGTGAAGCCAAAGATCGCCAATTAGCAAACAGAATGTTGGCAAGGCTCTTCTTGAAGAATTTTTTGGCTGGTAGAGTACTCAAAGAGCCCAATTTAAGTCGAAGGGCAAGATCAGAATGGCAGAAATTATGCTGTGCTGATATAGCATTTCCAGAGCTCGATATGGAGTACCTAGAAACTGCAACAAGTGGTGCCTATCGAATCAAACAGGCTTCAGGGTACATTGCAGAACACAAAGTCCAGACTGATGATGGTGGTTTCCAGGTATGGGTGTACCAGCATGCTGTATGGCCTCATCCGAGGACACATACGGTCATGTCACAAATCCCAGACGAAGTACAACGTTTGGATAGCATTCGATACAGACAACAAGAATGACCCTATAACTGGTCAATATTGTCAGTGTCAAGCAGGCAAGCGCACAGTGGGTATGTGCTGCCACATCGCAAGTATACTCTACTATTTTGGTCACCTTTCCCGCCAAACAAGGCAAGACCTTTACAGCCACAGAAAAAAAAATTCAAACAAGCTTTGTTCAACTGAAGCTGCATGTTGTCGTTGACAAACAAATACCAGTAAATTTGAGTACTTTACTTGGCACATGGCTTATCGCATCTTTAATAAGTGACGTTTACTAAAATGTTCGTGAACATATAAAGAATTGATCCTCCGGATAGATCTATGACCATGAAACCCCAAAATATACACCATTTTCCTTTAGGGTGTTCCCAAACCAGGCAGGTTGATGGGTGCAGACCAGATAACTAATCAGTTACACACAGATATTGATAACTTTGCTTATTTTATATTATACATACATCTATTTTAATGTAGCACATTTAATATCTTTCGTGAATACTTTACACTACTGCATTGTAATTGTGTATTACCAGGTGTATGGAATTGTCCATGTCAACATTAATTAATTATGATTATCTCTATTAATTATTACAGGTTCCTGTTTGTTATGTCATATTCACATCCAACCTAATTATTTTCAAGTTAGCATAGATTTTAAGTTATATTGTCCATTTAAATGACTTCAATAATATCTTACCTCACTTTTGTATCTACGCAGTACCTGCTGATTGAGAGGGGATGGGGATGTTCATAATGCTATAAAATCGTTTTCCCGAATTTTGTTTTTTTCAATATTAAGCATGTTTACAGAGGATATGTATAACCTATTTTCAAAATGGTTTCAGTTGGTAAACAAACGTAATGCCATAACGATTTGATGTCTTAAACTGCAAAATTAGCTGCTTTTTCACCCTGAAGTTGACATGTGAGTAAAGTTATCACTATAAATGGAAAATTCTTGATGTTGACGTAGAGAAACAATCATCTTTAACACATCGAACAGTAAGATACTTTCCAAAATGTAGGAAAGATTTACCTTAAAGGCACTTAATGACATGTAGTGTGAAAAAGTGAATTTCAGGCCCTGTGGGCCTTTTGCATATCACAACTGGAAAAAGAAAGACATATTCAGGTATTTTTTAAGGTACTCTAAAATACTGCAAAGTTTCAAAAAAATCGGAGAGTAGGTGGTTTTGGAAACACCACCTTTGACTTTGATTTAAGAGTACCCCACTCAAAATGAAGTGCGTTCTGGACCCATCAATATCGTGTGTGCCCCCCACAAGCTGCTGTAACTGCACAAACTCTTTTGTGCATTGAATTGATTGGGGTATTAACCCTCCACATTGGTATATGATTCTATTCCTCATCCAGCGCCAATGCCAACTGAGGGACATTGATTGGAGGATTTGGCCTACATCTTATCCTTCTGTCCAACTCGTCCCATAATGTTCTATTGGGGAGAGGTCAGGGCTGTATGGGGGCCAGTCTAGGGTGGGGATATTGTTTGGTGGGAGATAACCAAGGCAAACCCTCGCTACAATCGACCGGGCGTTGTCCTGCTGAAACGTCCATTGACGCTGCTGTACTAGAGGAACGACATGCGGCGCTAGGACTTGATCTTTATACCGGACGGCCGTGAGATTTCTCTGAATAACGATCAGAGGAGTCTTAATACCATGTGCAATCCCTCCCCATACCATGATCAATCCTCCTCCAAAGCGATCATGCTCTATCACGCAAGCATCTGCACAGCGCTCATGGGTACAGCCATTGCATTCGTGCGTTCAGCCATTGCATTCGTCTGGCATGTCGCTGCGCATTAAGCTGTGGTCCAACATATGGCCGCCGCGGTCTTAGACCGAAGGCACGCAGTTGAGTACGTCTTTGGATCAGTTGGAACATGATGACGCCCAGTTGTGTTCCTTGCTGTTTCCGTGGCCGTCAGAAAGTGATTGCATAGGTGCGAAAGTCGCATTGCCCTATCCTGTCAACGCGTTGTCACACAAGGGCGACTGCTGCGGGGACGGTCTGCAACCCTTCCGGTGGCATGTAGTCTTTGGATGAGATGGCAAAGATTCGATGGCTGGACTCCAAATTGATTAGCGACCTGATTTTGCTGGGTACCTTGCATAAGAAGTGCAATGGCACGACCCCTGCCAACTTCGGACAGTCATGGCATTTTTTTAATGGTGAACTGTTAACTGCTTAAAATGTTGGAAATCAAGACGGATATGTCTGAAGATTCGCACACACAGATTTTGAACCAATCCTCTATACTGGGTTCGAGATATCGTGCTTTTGTCTCTTATTCTTTTGTACAAGCTGCATGCACAGTTTAGTTATGCATCAGTGATTTTACCGTAGGGATCTACCGCAAATGCACACATTTGTCAAGTTTCAAGGGTGTACATCAAGGATTTAATTTACAATATTAAATTTCTGCTAATTGCATTTCTTTTTCCTTTCAGTATATATACCGCGCAAACCCCCTTCTGCTGAAGTTTGTCTACACGCCCAATTCTTAACAATCTCAAAGAAAATGGTACTTTATTTTCTAAATTTAATTGGCAGAAAAATTCTGACAAAAAAATGACTTATTACAGAATCAGGACTTTTTTTGAGTTTTTGTTGTTTTTGGTTTGTTTGTTTTTTTTTTTTAATTTTATTTGAGGAGTCGGTGTGTTTTGTTTTGTTGTCATATTTACGATATCATAAACATAACAGAGATCTCTACTGTAGGTAATAAATCCTCTCTTTTGTCTTATAGTATGGAGGTGGTATTTGTTCTATGTGTTGTGCTTGCACTTGGAATGGCTGAACGACTTCATGCCCCTATGAGGCCAAGTTCCCAAGAATACCTGGAGCGAGAATGGGACATGATCATAAGCAAAGTGAATTATGTTAACACTACCTGGAAGGTAATTAGATACTCTGACCAACTCACACGCTTTCACTTCATCAGACTCCATGTCTGGTAATAAGCCAATCCATATATCTGTAATGCTTATTAGTAGGTTTTTTTTTATTATTTATTGTCAGATCAAGATGTCGTTTAAAAATATTTCTTCATTTACACTTAAACAAGTACTGTTAGCTGTTGATCACAATTACATTTAGATTTCAGAGGTGCAACTGCTTATTTTGAGAAATAGTGTCACTGTTCTGATGTGATTTCAATGGAGAAAGGTATCCAGTGTGTATAAAGAATCAGAAAATTATGTTGTGCTAGAATGTGTAACTGTATGAGGAATGTTTGTTACAAAGTCTGTAATGATGTAGAAGGTTAAGGACTCTATCTAGATCAATATCATTGAAACGTTTTTCATGTTGTCGTAATACTACATTTATTGGGCAGTAATCCCTTTTCTGGCAATACGTATATTCATATTTACTACAATTTTACAAGAAACACCTGGTAAATACATAATCCCCCATCAGAAATAGACATCTTCCTATTTTTAGTACTATGTTATACATTGGTTCCCTTAGTTTACTTTAGAATGAACACAGTAATGAAAAAGCAGTGTAGCTTATTATTTTTATGAAATGTGACATTTTCAGAATATGTAGAAGTTAATATTAAAAATCTGCAGACATGCCAAGGAATTAGGAGTAGATTTTTACTTTCCCTTATTAAGGTTGACCATGTAATAATTGTACTTAGTTAGTATAGACCTATAGTACAATTTATGGTAGTAGGTTTCAACAAATAAGAATTGCTCAACTTGTATTTCCAGGCCGGAGACAATTTCCTCAGGATCATGAAACATGAGCGTAAGGCTTATGCTAAGAAACTCTGTGGTGTCTTGAAAACTCCGTTAAATCTTCAGCTTCCCCAAAGGCCACCTTTATCGGCCACCAGTTTGCCAGAATCTTTTGATGCACGTGACAACTGGTCACACTGTCCGACCATCAAAGAAGTCCGCGACCAAGGAGACTGCGGTTCATGCTGGGTAGGACAAGGGTAGAACATTGTTATGAAATATTGAAACCTCAGATTGAAATTTAAGTCATTAAGTAAATTCACACACTGCATATAGGTAGCACTAAATAAGATCATGCTGCCATTCTGACATGTAACTCACAGGGGAGATAACTCTATCAATTTCATGTCCCTCCTTCATTACTGTAAATGCTTTGAAACTAACTCTTATGCATGCAGAAATGTTTTATACATTTACCAAGTAAGTTAAGGTGACCTGCTCTTAACCTCTTTTGTCAGGCTTTGTGTGTCATAAACTTTCAACATTTTCGACTTCTTCTGGAAAACTCCTGATCCGATTTCGATGAAATTTAAGAACCATCTTCCATGGCTTAAGGCTCACCAAAACTGTAAAGTATATGATTCCCAACCCCTAAGGTTCTGAAAGGCCTCACCAAAAAGGGTCAAATTGATTGAAAAAAATCCCAATTATGATAGTATCAAAACTCTTCTTAGGTGGAAATGACTTCAGAGGTTTAACCAAACGTGTAAATTTCCTGACGCAAGGATCTCACATTTCCCCCTTGGGAGGGGGATAAAGTTGATTTTATTTCATATAAGAAAATTACATTTTTGAACATTATTTGTTTATTTTCTATTGGAAGTAGTTAAAACTGTGTTAGAATTGTAAGACAGTTTGATAAGATTCACATATTGACTTTGACTGACAATCGGGGGCTGTTGGGCGGGCCAAAAATAGGTCAAATTGACTGAAATCTCAAAAGCCTTCCTCTCAGTATGCAGATAATGTAGAACCAAATACTCTTCATGTATGGAAAGGTCTTAACAACAGTGCTTTACCAAAATTGTAAATTTCATGACCTCAAGGTCTCACATTTCCCTGTGGGGAGGGGTTAGAATTTACTATAGTTGCTATAGGCAAATCAAATTTTTGAGCATAATCTTGTTTTTTTTTTTTTTTTCAGAAATAGTTCAAACTTTTTTAGAATAATAAGTATAAGCTGACAGTTTGATGAGATCCATGTAGTGGTATTGACATTGACTGACCCCCAGGAGAAATCTCATAAATCTTCTCAACAACCTCACAATCTCATATTTTCTCTTTTCGGAGGGGAGTAGGGGGTAAAATTGACTGTAGTTTATATCGGAACATTTTGAACATCATTTGGTTATTTTTGTTTAAGACATAGGTCAAACATGATTAGAATTGTCAGTATAGGATGACAGTGTGATGAGATACACATAATGACATCGGCTGACCCCCAGGGACTGACGGCCAGAAATGGGTCACATTGACTGAAATTTCAAAAATGTTCTACTGTTTATCAATAGGACACTTACATAGGAAATGCATATTTTGAGTTTAATTCCTTTTAATTGAAATGTGGTTAGAAGCCTTAGCATAGAACAGCAGTTAATGTTATACACAGTCTACATTTGCATTATATGTACAATGTAGTTAAAATTCATTACTTTTTTTTAACAAAAACATTTCTATGACCTGTTACAAGAAGCATTCTAACCCAGATGATGGTCAAGGCTATTGGACCTCTTGTTTGATTTAGCATTAAATTCTCTCCTTAAAAACATCTTACTCATGACTATTGCAAGCTACTGTAATTGGAAGAGATGTTATGTTACAGTGTAAGTTTTGTGGTTTTAGTATTAGTACAGTTAGAAGGTACAAAATGTAGCCTAAAAGGATGTATATAGAAAATACATGGTTAGTTTCTTAAAATATAAGTTTCGCTGTTTTTCTCTTTCTTTCCTGAAGCAAAACGTAGCTCATGATTTAAGATGGTGATCACGTATTTACTTATCCTGCAACAATTTTTGAAAATTCTGTCTATTGAAATCTGTATAGATTCAGTCATTGTTTACCTGACTTTGACGTTACTCTGAATTTTGCTCGTTGATAATTACACCATGGAGATATACAGTTTCACACTTTACTGGCGATAAAAAGGAATTTTAGGACTTTTTCTGCCCCTGGATTGAAAGGTCGGGAGCTTATTGTTTTTGTGCTGTTTGTCTGTTGTCAACTTTAACCTTGTTCAGAACTATTGCACCCGAAGAGGCATTGCTTTCATATTTAGCATGTGGTATGTGTGTTTCTTGTGACAAGACCTTTCTGGTGGTACCACAATTTTTGACTGTGTGATGTTGACTGTGACCTTTGTCCTACATTTGAAAATAAAAATAATAATTACAACAATGAAGACATACCGGGTAAGTGTTTCACAAAGTGTTCATGCAATTAGCCCATGCCTTACACAGTACAGTTTTAATGTCTCACTTCAGAATTTTGTTGCGATTGGGGACGGCATAACATTTCTTAAACACATCAATTTGTTGCAACAAATAAAATTACTTATTCATGTTTTTAAATGAAATAATTTGATAAGTCAGTTCTGTCAAGTTAATGCACATGTAAAAATACAACTAGTTTTTGTCCCTGTCAAATGCAACAAAAGAATATAGGAATCAGATGTACTCTTACAATAGCAGTGTCAGTTGTAGGCTAAATTGTGATACAGCATACAAAGAAGACATTGTCAGTTAACAAAAACATTTCCTGGAAACTTAAAATAATGTTTCTCACAAATGCTACTTAACAAATACCAGGACTCTGAATTAATTGCTTGTTGAAAGAAGAGATTTAAAAATTTCAATGTAGTTAACCCTAGAGATCTTGAAAGCAGGTCAAAGTTCATCATTTGAAGAAGATTTGAAGCATTTCATTCAGTCATGGTAAAGAACCAGTATCAACAGCCTGAACCTCATGGTTATTAAAAAGAAGTTATTTTAGATGATAACACATTTGAACCTAGTGATTTTGACATAAGTGACACCTACAGTAGATCAAGGTCAATATTATGAACAAACGTAGTAGCTCTTCAACCCAGCATGCTACAGACCAAATATCAGCACCCTGAGCCTTTGGTTAATGAGAAAAAGTTGTTGAAAAATTTTAACATGTTTGACACCTGTGACCTTAACAGTGGGTCAAGGTAAATTATTTGAACAAATTTAGTAGTCCTACATCCTAGCATGCTACAGGCCCAATATCAGCATCCTGGGCCTGTTGGTTATTGAGAAGAAGTTGTTTAAAAGTTTAAACATATTTGACCCCTGTGACCTTGAAAGTATTAAGATAATTCATTTTAACAAACTTGGTAGCCCTACATACCAACACACATACAGGCCCAATATATTTTTAAACCTGTGACATTGAAACTAGGTCAATATCATTTATATTAACAAGTTGGTATCCCTTCATCTCATCATGCTACAGGCTAGATATTGGAATCCTTGGCCTTTTGGTTATTGAGACGAAGTCATTTGAATGAAAAGTTTACGTACAGTAGAGGATGACAGATGAAACACGATAGCTATGGGTCATCCTGAAATACATTGTAAACAAAAAAAATAATTAGATTTTAATTTTGGTCTGTATGCCATAGAATGGATGCTTCAATGCTTATCCTATACCTTAATATCTTCATGCAAAGTGTGATTATCAACATTGCAGGCATTTGGAGCTGTTGAGGCAATGTCTGACAGAATCTGCATCCATTCAGAGGGACAAGAAAACGCTCACATCTCGGCAGAGGATCTTCTGACATGTTGCTATTCCTGTGGTAGTGGGTGTGTATCGCTATTCCTGTGGTAGTGGGTGTGTATCGCTATTCCTGTGGTAGTGAGTGTGTATCGCTATTCCTGTGGTAGTGGGTGTGTATCGCTATTCCTGTGGTAGTGGGTGTGTATCGCTATTCCTGTGGTAGTGGGTAGGAACAAGATAGTGTTATAATGTGGTGTGAAAAATGTAAATGTCAGTAGAGGTATAGAGTTTAATGATAGCTCAGATAGGAAAAGAAATCAAATTGTTATAGACACATCATAAGGTGGCTGGTACCATATTCTTACTAGGATTTCTACAGCACTTAGTGAAGATGTGAGAGTGGTAGTCAGTCTATGATGCCAGAGATTAGGAGATGTGCGTTGGTATAATACAAGTTTAAGTGACAGTAGGTTGTTAAGAGACATTGTTGATGGTGGATAGCAGTTTGTGACTTGTTTGATGCTGGGTGTTCAGGAATTAGGAAGTTGATGGTACAATACAGTTTCAAATTATGGTTTGTTGTAATGAGACTTTCTGCTTGTTGCAAGATGTGATGGTGGGTACCCTGAAGCTGCCTGGTCTTTCTTCAAGAGATGGGGAATTGTGACTGGTGGTCAGTACAACTCCAGCCAGGTAAGTAGTCATCAACATGTGAAGGTCACAGACACAAGTTGTCATATTATAAATTAGTTTCATGTCAAATACATTTCCTAGAAACTGAAACTTTTATTGATGCTGAACTTCAAATACAGTACAGGAACTATAAACTACAAGATCACACACTTGGTGCAATGCTTTCAGAAATGCCTGATCAGCTGACTTTTGCCGATGAACCTCTAACTTTATACAGTACCTACTGACCAAAAGTGCTTGATTGAGATGGCTTTTTATGTCTGAATGTCGCAAGTCAAGGTTAATGTTACTATTAATGGGATTTTTTTTTTTTTTCATGATAACTTTTGAGGTTTGAATGTCAAAGGCCAAGGCCAGTTATTGTAAATAGAATATTTCTTTTCATACAATAACCTTACCAAAAGTACTTTCTTGGGATTGCTTTTCAGGTCAAAAAGTCAAAGGTCAAGGTTATTGTAACTGTTAAAAGAAAATTGATTTTGAGTGATTACTTGATTTATTTTTAGACGATTAGTCGCAAACTTCATACATTGCTTGTTAACCAACAGAGCTTGTTGAGATTTCAGCTGGATTGTCTTTGTTCCTGCTGTATTTTGAGGTTTTTTTTAAATTCCAATTTTGTGTGTAACTGATATATTGAACTTTCCTCAAGATTCCCTTCCATTCTAAGTTTACTCATCACATCTCAAACAAATGGACAATTTATATATATATGAAATAAATACAATGAATATCTATATCTATTGTTCCATAAAACCTTACCCAGCAGGCGACACTTCCACTTACGTGGAATACTTGTATAGTTGCGTATTATCACTAGGCAGTGTATCCCATAATTCTCTCAAGGTCAAGGTCAGGAACATATGTCTTTTGGTTTGCCATGTCATAAACAGATACATAGAGGGTCAAAACATATTTTCTCCATCATATATACAATGATTGACAGTTAATGTGTCAGAGTATTAACAGGAAAACAAAGCTTTTAAAAGGAATTCTGGAAATATGCCTTTAAAGCTAGTGAGATAAGGTTTCTCTTAATATATTTCTCTTTGTCTGTCCATCTGTCCTTCTGTTTATTTCTCTGTCTATGTCACCTTGATTTAAAAAAACATTCATGTCAACCTGCCACCTGATATAAGTTGACATTTTTGATCTGCAGAATCAGGATGAAATGTTGCAGATACTTTGAGTTGTAACAGTATTGGCTACCAGCTCCATATTAAGAGAAACCTTTTCAGAATGGATTGTCAAATAAAACGTTTTATACCCGTAGATTTTTTGAGTTACTGGCTAGCATTTGCAAGCATGCAAGATACAAAATTCTTTTTTATATATATTTGAAGGACAGTTTGGTTATGTCCTTGGTTTTGTATATATTGTATACATTTTTAAGCGTTTCAAATTTTTGCAGTTTTCCCCAAATTTTTTTTTCCCACTGTTAATTTCATCTTCAATGTATCTATGAAATGGTTGCTAATTTATTCCATCCTTAAGAATAGCAAAAATTAAAACCTATGGAATGTAAGAACCTGGGCAGTAAAAGAGGAAGTTTGTTTTCAGGGTTGTCGTCCTTACAGCATAAAACCTTGTGAACATCACACCACTGGGCGCCTTCTGCCATGCAAAAAATCTATTGATCCAACTCCTAAGTGTCAAGAGTCATGTGAATCCAGCTACAAAGTGTCATACAGCACCGACAAACACTACGGTACATAAGCATCATATCTCTGATCATGCAGAGAAGATGAAATGAAAAAAAAATTTAAAAAAATGTGAATCACCTAATGTAATAATGATATATTGACATTTGGACAATGGTTAACTTGTCATAACTTTGAAGTTTACTTCCTCGTACCTAACAAGGTGAAATTTCTTCAATTTTTAAGTTTCTGATTTTGATAGGTATGACATTTTAGGTCAAGGCCACTCTGTTAATAAATGAGAAAAAAGGGTTAAACTACAAATTTCATACAGTGTTTAATCAAAATGCTTAACTAGGAGAGGTTTTTTTATGAATGAATATTGTAGGTCAACATCAACAAGAAACAGCTTCATATACAATATACTCCATTTCTGCTGCCAGCGGCCCATACCCCTTGTAATACACCAATCTATATTGTATTCAGTTCTGTATAGAGTTTAGAATATGTGTTTGACTAACCCCCTCTCCCCCCCACCTCCCCACCCTCACATATCTTATGAGATATAAATCAGGTTACTTTGATGTTAATTATAGGGGCTACTTCCTATTCTGTCCCACCTGTCGTATCAGAAATCCAGACTGAGATCATGAAATACGGACCAGTAGAGGGCGCTTTTATTGTGTATTCAGACTTCCCTACTTACAAAAGCGGTGAGTGAAAATATTGAACACTAATTGTAAACATACAAAAATTGATAAACAATTATTGATATCTTTATGTAAATGATCTTCTTGGACTATGAAGGGTCAAGTTTTTCATTTCAGACTCAACACTGTCCAGATTGAGAAATAGTAACAGATGTACTTATAATTACTGCTATCATTTGTACATTTATTTACAGACATTGAAGGTGCTCTGCAACTTAACTTTTTTTAATGGCTCCATTAACTCCTGTTGACATGAGTTATGTTGTTGAAAAATAGATTTACTGCATTAACATAAATCAATAAGTATAATCAAACCAAACAGAAAATCAGAATGAACACAGAATAAGATTATGGTGACCTAGACGCCATGTTGTTTTGCGTGACTTTTGAAAGGTTATGATGACCTAGACGCCATGTTGTTTTGCGTGACTTTTGAAAGGTTATGATGACCTAGACGCCATGTTGTTTTGCGTGACATTTGAAAGGTTATGATGACCTAGACGCCATGTTGTTTTGCGTGACTTTTGAAAGGTTATGATGACCTAGACGCCATGTTGTTTTGCGTGACTTTTGAAAGGATATGATGACCTAGACGCCATGTTGTTTTGCGTGACTTTTGAAAGGTTATGATGACCTAGACGCCATGTTGTTTTGCGTGACTTTTGAAAGGTTATGATGACCTAGACGCCATGTTGTTTTGCGTGACTTTTGAAAGGTTATGATGACCTAGACGCCATGTTGTTTTGCGTGACATTTGAAAGGTTATGATGACCTAGACGCCATGTTGTTTTGCGTGACTTTTGAAAGGTTATGATGACCTAGACGCCATGTTGTTTTGCGTGACTTTTGAAAGGTTATGATGACCTAGATGCCATGTTGTTTTGCGTGACTTTTGAAAGGTTATGATGACCTAGACGCCATGTTGTTTTGCGTGACTTTTGAAAGGTTATGATGACCTAGATGCCATGTTGTTTTGCGCGACTTTTTTTTATCCTTACTTTATTTCAGCTTTTTAATATTGTCATTTGACTTATTGGTTTATTAATTAGTAGTTTCTCTTTATCATCATGACCTTTGAACTTGCTGTCAAAGTAACATCATTATTGCACAGTTTTATAGTTTTGTTACATTTCAATATCCTATGCATTGTAATAGCTGCAAATTATGAATTTGTATTTTTCCACTCCACCTCACGACTGCTCTTACAAATTAATTAACTTGACAGGAGTGTACCAGCATACAACAGGGACTGCTCTTGGAGGCCATGCTATTAGGATCCTGGGTTGGGGTGTTGAGGAAGGCGTTGACTATTGGCTTGTGGCTAATTCATGGAATGCTGACTGGGGAGACAATGGTATGCAGACATTGTAAAGTTAATCTATTTCATAGTATTAAAAGTCCCCAGTCTGCAGTGATGTGGACCTTGGGTCTTAAGTATTGACATTCTGCTGTGAATCAGTGAGATTTAGCAAATTTTATTTTGAGAACTTACCTCTGCAGACAGTCACAAATACATGATTTTGCAGATGAAGGTCTAACGATGACTTTCAATTCAGTAAATGAAGAGCTCTTGGAGATATGGACTCTGGGGAGCTCCTTCATCAGCAACCAATAAGATCATATTCACCACCATTTTGTTAATGAGAGTCATGTGACTCTACCAGAAAAGTGCTTTAGTCATGTGATGCATGTTGTGTCCATACTGAATTGAATTCACACAAATACATTCTAGAATGTAGACAATATTATGATAAGGTATAGGAATTCAACAGAAGTGTAAACATAGAGAGTTAACAATGGAATAACAAGAAGGTCATCAAGAGATTCATTTAAATAATCGCAAGAGATCTGAATTTGCAATTGGCTCTCCTGGCATACAAACATGAAAATAATGAAATAAATACTATGCAAAATATAAGTGATTAACAGTAATCAATTTAAGCACAAATCTGTCACTTAGATATTTTTATGTTGCTTATCAGTTTTAAAAATGACTTTAAAATACAACTGATCTTGAAGTTGCTTTCTGTCAGAAAGTGTCCAAGGTATAATATTCAGTTCACAAGGGTGACTCTCTTGTTGCTTTATTTAAATCACAAAATTGATTCACCTTTCAATACAAGAAATAAGTTTGCTTTAGGGAATAGAACAGTCAAAAGCGATTATAAAATGATGAAAGATGATACAGTAATGGGTGCCAAGGTCCCTCCAGAATGCCAATATTGTTTCTTGTATATTTAGGATGTGTTGGTATCAGGTTTTGTCTCTGAGATTCCTCAACATTTGATTTGGAATGTTAATTTCCATCATCCAAGAGATAATGACTATATTTTTTTGTTTTTAAGGCTTCTTCAAAATCAAGAGAGGAACAAACGAGTGTGGTATTGAAAAACAGATAACTGCAGGTCTTCCGAAGGGCAAAAGAGCAAGGGAGACAACTCCTATGTTAGAGAAGTGAAACAATTCCAACAGAAAAGAAAGATATTAGTAGACCCACCCTACTGTGATTATTTCCTCTAGATTTGTTTATGAACGGACTGATACTATTTCACATTCTGACAAGTCTTGACAAAACTTTGAATCATAGAAATGTAAATTTACTTTTTGATTTAGGGTATGTCTGAAATATGTTTGAATTATATGTCCACAGGTATTTTTACAAAAATGAAAGCAGCCTTGTTCTTCTCAAGATTAAATAAGAAAAAAGGGAGGCCACTACATACCTTAAATCATAGTGTAACCCTGTTTAGTCTTGATTTTATATTTTTTAAAACTAATACTAAAAATGCTGTCAATAAAAAAGATGTCATTCAAATGGTAATAGGGTTGATGCTCATGATATTGGGGTTTTTTGTGTGTGTTTCTTGTTTAATTTTCTCTGGATTTTTACGTGATCTGTTGGGTGCCATTAGATTTAATTGTATATTGAAGGTCTGAATTTTGCAAGTTTAACAAATAAGATCTGACTATTAATCATATCATTTACATTGTAATGTACTTAAAATGCTGAAGATCATTGACATTTGCCTTTGTTCCAAATTATTGTTTTTTCTTGTCCTGTACCAACTGGAAAAAAAATTTGTGGAGTGCTGTTTATTTAACTATTGCACCCAGACAATAGAGATTGTCACTAATTGTTAATTTAGAGACTCTGTCTCCTGAATTACTGAATGATCTGAAATATATACTTTTGGCAATCTTAATTTTGATATTTTGAATTTTTCCTTTGTTATGAAAGTATTGCTGACTATCTATCAGTCCAAACATAAGGTTTCCCTATCTCTGATAAAAACAACCTGCAATTCAAATTCTTATTCTGAGAAAACATTGCCTTAATTGTTGAAAATGTATGCATTATGATGTGTATTTTGACTCTTTGAACCATGAAATGACAGAAATTCAGCAAAATCTAACCATTATCTACATTAGTGTCCTTCCAAAAATTTTCTTCATATTGGTGCATGAATGATAATTCCTATATGACAACCATTCATTTTCTTCAAAAGAAATCCAGAATTATTAAACTATTGTAAACATAAATGATTATGTGAATGTTGAGGGAAATTTATATATATACACACACATGGACACCAAAACCTGAATAATCCAGCTGCATTCCTTCCTAGTAGAAGTGACAAGATTACATGTGTAAGTTGGACAGAATACAAGTTTCTATAGAAGAATTGATGATATAATGCGTTATGCCACTTATTAGGAAATTGATCAATAGATACAAATTTTCTGCTGTACAATGTACATGTTATTATGTCAGTCATATAATATTTCAGTTATTGATACTGTATGGAGATTAAGAATCTTTTTCTTTGTTTTGATGATGTCAGTCTGACCTGCATTCATCATAAAGATCTGAATTGTCTTTTTTATGTTAAAAAAGTGAGTAGGTGGGTAACTTTGTAACGTGTTAATGAAGGGAAATACAAAGAAAAGATCTGTATCAATATATAACACTCGAATATATATACAAAGATATGGAGGAATTCTCCAAAAATCAACTGCAATGTTAGATACAGAACAAAACTAATTGAGATTGGTTTATTTTCCTTCCCAAGCAACAGGGCCTTTTATGATGTACTTGTGTTTTTTTTCTTACGATTTTCAAAATTTGTTTACTTTTAAAACTTCCTTTTTTCACGTATTTTGAGTTTAAAGTATTTGATATGGTTTTGCTTTCACCCTCTTTTTTTTTCCCCAAGTTAGAACATTGAAAGTAATCGTAGATAATTTATAATTCAACATTCCATTTCTTTGTGATGTGTTTTGAGTAAGTATCATACATCTATATTTCTTGCTGGTAAGTTAACACTTTTGTGATTTGATAAACAACTGGAATTAATAAATGTGTTTATTCCCAAAACTTTTCACAACTATGTATTTATTGCTGGAGGAGAAACAAATGCTTGTTGGAAGGTAGGATGGCATGTTTTGTATCACTGTCCACATTGTACAAATCAGATTGATTTATATATACCGGTATCAGGATTTCATTGAGACTTCCTGTCACCTCATTCCTTCCCCCCCAAATTATATTTTTTTATTTTTGGAACAGTCCTAGCATTAATGATATGACTTAATAGATAAATAATGAAACAATTGGTTATTTTGATGGGGTGTAATTGTTTTTTTTTTAAATTGGTAAATCAGATTTTATTTAATTTGTTCAGCATAGTAAATAAATTCTTTAGTGGTCCCTCTTGTCTGATGTGTGGTTAAGCTAAAGAAAAAGTTAAAATATTTCTGTCTCATTCTTTTCAGATTCTGATGCTTTTAATTTTTGTGGTTTTTCTGTATGTGCTTTAATATCACACAAATAATTAGCAATCTATATTATTTCTTCGCTTTTGTTTTTTTCATTCATGATCACATTTATGTTGTGTTTAATCAGATGTCAAATATAGAATGATCTTGTGTTAATTTTACTGGACAATGTTAATTATATTTACATAATTCTCTGAAATATAAAAAAAAATGGAAAAAAATACTTCTTCATGTGATGTGCAAAATATAATTCCATCTATTGTCACTCTAAAATGTTGAGCTTAACATGTGAATATTTGCTGTGTTAAAAGTTAACACTACAGTGAAATGATGCTAGTTAAATAAATACATATGTCATTGGTCAATTTTAAAAGACATTTCAAATATGAGGTCTTAATATAAGGTACCAAGGAAAGTCTTTATTAATGCTTGATTTCTATGTTTTTAAAATTGGATGGTGAAGTAGTAAAGGATATTAATAAAGATAGATGTATGTGAATTTAATGTTATGTGAATGTATCTAATACATATTCTCATTATTGCCATAATTATTTAGTGCTTTACAATTTGATGGCAGTGTTTTGTCCATAAATATGCTTTCTATCCCAAACCATACATGTAATGTAATTTTTATGAACTACCAATGTAGTAAAATATATTTTTGCTTGGAAGGAAGTTGTTTTTATTATGTGTAACTTGTTACCATCAACAGTCAAGGTCATTTTGAGACAGCTTCTCTTTGTAGTAGCTTGGGACTTGGATGTACAGAAGGCCCCGTCACATACCAGCCAAAGCTTTTGGAGTTAAGTTTCATGGCCAACGACAAAAGCTCAATATAACGGCCTGGCTTCTGGCACTGCCTTTCACATTTGATTATAAATCAGAATTTTTTTTATGAACTATGACCTTGTTTGAAAGTGACCTCTGCGGAAGTACATCAAAAGAACTCTTTCAACACTCTAATATTCATGGTATGTTTGGTCCTAACAATCTTCCAACCTTTCCCTATTTCATTTTTGAGGTCATGTCAGAAAATCAAAACTAATCTTCTCAGTGTGTAGATTCAACAGTTGGGCAAAGAGCTTCGGAAAATCCTGGTGTTCTTAATCAAGCAATGAGTACACATGAAAAGTGTTGATGATGGTCCACTATTTGGCAAATAAACAAATGTATAAAGTCGGTTGTCAAAATGTGAACAGGAAGCATTTATTGTCATTAGCAGCACTCATTGTCGCAGTACAGGAATGTTGTTGGGACAATTTGACAACTGACTCTACACTTTCGTCCATTTCCAATATCATATTTTATATATGAATACTATAACAGCCTCCCGCATGACGTTCAGTGACGTAGCCAGAGCTACAACTGGGAAACCCACCTAGACATGACACTGGTTGTTTAAGGGGTGAAAATGTTAGTAAACAGAAAGAAAAACAAGTATGCACCGTCGCTGTACGTCAAAGAGTAGATTAAATGTGAACATTCCCTCCAAGAGCTGAATGATTTGTGATCAGTTTCAGTGATTTTGAGAAACAAAAATGAATACAACACTAAAGGCATGGTGTTTTAATACAATTTTTCTGTATTTACTTTGGGGGATATATGATCAGACTGATTGCCCGCATTTCAACACGGATTATTCATCTGTCCCTTTTTCTCTGTCTTCCTCTTCTTTCCTTCCCTTACTCTGATTTTCAGGAGGATACGACTCCATAGCTATCATGTTATCTCATGACCTATAACCTTTATATGACCTATAAAGTACATTTGTGTATTCTAGAGATGAAAAACTGATGATATTGTGAACAGATCCTGTGGGAATTTTACATTACTTTGCTTATTTGTCCTTTTAACGAAGTTTAACATTCTCTCAACAGCCAACGTCATATGAGAAAGGAACTCTTTCAACAATGTTCATCGATTTGTGGTAGTCGTATATCTGTCATGGTTTTTTTTTTTTTTTTTTTTTTTTTTTTTTTTTTTTAAATGAGTGCCAGTTTCAATGCAGAATTATGTTACTACCACTAGAGATGTTCCTGCCTTAAAGGTTTGGAAGAATTAACAAATATATAGTAAACCATTCAAATTGTTGCCAATGAAAATCAGAGACATATATAACACATATATATGTGATACATACGTCTCTGATTTAGGTGTGGGTGATGAGAGACAAAAGTGGCGAGCCTTTTGGTTACTCAGAAAATCCGAATGAGAACGAAGTTCATTAAACACAAATGTTGCAAATTTCAGCGTATCACCGTCATATCATATCTGGATATTTTATGAGTTTTGGGTATAAAAAAAGAAAGTATTTAGGTGTTGTCATACATAGATCAGGTATAAATAAGCATTAAGGTGTTGTCATACAAAGATCAGGTATAAATAAGTGTTATAGTGTTGTCATACAAAGATCAGGTATAAATAAGTGTTATAGTGTTGTCATACAAAGATCAGGTATAAATAAGTATTTAGGTGTTGTCATACAAAGATCAGGTATAAATAAGTATTAAGGTGTTGTCATACAAAGATCAGGTATAAATAAGTATTTATGTGTTGTCATACAAAGATCAGGTATAAATAAGTATTAAGGTGTTGTCATACAAAGATCAGGTATAAATAAGGACTAAGGTGTTGTCATACAAAGATCTGGTATAAATAAGTATTAAGGTGTTGTCATACAAAGACCAGGTATAAATAAGTATTTAGGTGTTGTCATACAAAGATCAGGTATAAATAAGTATTAAGGTGTTGTCATACAAAGATCAGGTATAAATAAGGACTAAGGTGTTGTCATACAATGACCAGGTATAAATAAGTATTTAGGTGTTGTCATACATAGATCAGGTATAAATAAGTATTTAGGTGTTGTCATACAAAGATCAGGTATAAATAAGTATTAAGGTGTTGTCATACAAAGATCAGGTATAAATAAGGACTAAGGTGTTGTCATACAAAGATCTGGTATAAATAAGTATTAAGGTGTTGTCATACAAAGATCTGGTATAAATAAGTATTATGGTGTTGTCATACAAAGATCAGGTATAAATAAGTATTATGGTGTTGTCATACAAAGATCAGGTATAAATAAGGACTAAGGTGTTGTCATACAATGACCAGGTATAAATAAGTATTAAGGTGTTGTCATACAAAGATCTGGTATAAATAAGTATTTAGGTGTTGTCATACAATGACCAGGTATAAATAAGTATTAAGGTGTTGTCATACAAAGATCAGGTATAAATAAGGACTAAGGTGTTGTCATACAAAGACCAGGTATAAATAAGTATTAAGGTGTTGTCATACAAAGATCAGGTATAAATAAGTGTTATAGGGTTGTCATACAAAGATCAGGTATAAATAAGTATTTAGGTGTTGTCATACAAAGTTCAGGTATAAATAAGTATTAAGGTGTTGTCATACAAAGACCAGGTATAAATAAGGACTAAGGTGTTGTCATACAAAGACCAGGTATAAATAAGTATTTAGGTGTTGTCATACAAAGACCAGGTATAAATAAGTATTTAGGTGTTGTCATACAAAGATCAGGTATAAATAAGGACTAAGGTGTTGTCATACAAAGATCAGGTATAAATAAGAACTAAGGTGTTGTCATACAAAGACAAGGTATAAATAAGTATTTAGGTGTTGTCATACAAAGATCAGGTATAAATAAGTATTTAGGTGTTGTCATACAAAGATCAGGTATAAATAAGTGTTATGGTGTTGTCATACAAAGATCAGGTATAAATAAGTGTTATGGTGTTGTCATACAAAGATCTGGTATAAATAAGTATTTAGGTGTTGTCATACAAAGATCAGGTATAAATAAGGACTAAGGTGTTGTCATACAAAGATCTGGTATAAATAAGTATTAAGGTGTTGTCATACAAAGACCAGGTATAAATAAGTATTAAGGTGTTGTCATACAAAGACCAGGTATAGATAAGTATTATGGTGTTGTCATACAAAGATCAGGTATAAATAAGGACTAAGGTGTTGTCATACAAAGATCTGGTATAAATAAGTATTTAGGTGTTGTCATACAAAGATCAGGTATAAATAAGGACTAAGGTGTTGTCATACAAAGATCTGGTATAAATAAGTATTATGGTGTTGTGATACAAAGTTCAGGTATAAATAAGTAGTATGGTGTTGTCATACAAAGATCAGGTATAAATAAGTATTTAGGTGTTGTCATACAAAGATCAGGTATAAATAAGGACTAAGGTGTTGTCATACAAAGATCAGGTATAAATAAGTGTTATGGTGTTGTCATACAAAGATCAGGTATAAATAAGTATTTAGGTGTTGTCATACAAAGATCAGGTATAAATAAGTGTTTTGGTGTTGTCATACAAAGATCAGGTATAAATAAGTATTTAGGTGTTGTCATACAAAGTTCAGGTATAAATAAGTATTAAGGTGTTGTCATACAAAGTTCAGGTATAAATAAGTATTAAGGTGTTGTCATACAAAGACCAGGTATAAATAAGTATTAAGGTGTTGTCATACAAAGATCAGGTATAAATAAGTGTTATAGGGTTGTCATACAAAGATCAGGTATAAATAAGTATTTAGGTGTTGTCATACAAAGACCAGGTATAAATAAGTATTATGGTGCCGTCATACAAAGATTAGGTATAAATAGGTATTTAGGTGTTGTCATACAAAGATCAGGTATAAATAAGTATTTAGGTGTCGTCATACAAAGATCAGGTGTAAATAAGTATTGAGGTGTTGTCATACAATGACCAGGTATAAATAAGTATTTAGGTGTTGTCATACAAAGATCAGGTATAAATAAGTATTGAGGTGTCGTCATACAATGACCAGGTATAAATAAGAACTAAGGTGTCGTCATACAAAGTACATATATAAAAATTACTTACAATCGTAGGTGTTTTCATACAAAGAACTTGCATAAAAAAAACAATTCAGTGTCGTCCCACTAACTTTAAATCTGAATTCCATATCAATAATGTCACCAGCAAAACCAAGTCCACACTTATAAGCTCAATGTCCATTAAGGTCTTGTTCGACCTGCTTTCGAGTACGCATTCTTTGTTTGGGACCCACGTGATACAAAAGCAGACGTCACCAAGATAGACATGGTGGGCATCGATAAACCTAGTTGTTCAGAAGCTTATCAAAGGTGGGCAGTAGTTAGTGATTTTTTTTAAATGATTCAAAAATAAAATTGGGAACATTCTTCATCTTTTCACAGCTTTGTTGAGAATGGTCAGATTGAAATATGTTGAGTCATAGTTTTTGCTTTAATACTCTTCATTGGCAACAATTTGAATGGTTTACTTTCTATTTGTTACTTCTACCGAACCTTGAAGGCAGAAACATCTCTAGTGGTAGTAACATAATTCTGCATTGTAACTGGCACTCGCTTCAAAAACATGAAAGATAATGAAAAACACCGTGACCATGCGTTCTTTATATCTCCTTGTGACGTCACAAAATGGCTTGTAACACGTATAATACGTATGTATTTACCGCAAAATCACGTGGCATATAGTTATCTTGACAATGATATGTAACTCACATTATAAAATTTACGACAATTCGTAAATTCAATTTAAGACGAGTCATATTTTTTCGTTTGAACCACTTTTTGTTTTTTTACAGATACACCTGACCGAAGTCCGTGTTAGGACTATCATTTCATTAGTGTTCGGACGAATATCAAATATTTGTGTAACGACGAGGTAAAATTAATATAATTATCGGAGTTTGATGGTACAGAATTAGCCGATGATTATTTTCCCTTCAGTGTCATACTTTCCGATAGGGGGGTGTTGTGAATGCACGTGCACGAGGTGTCGGTGACTGTCGGGTCATTCAGCGATAGTCGCTCCGACAGTGCACATGACTTGATTTTAAAGATAATTTTCAGTAAATAAATTTAAAACTTTAATAAACTGATTTTGTATGAATTACGGAGTTGACAGGATGATTAGATTGTCATGAAGTTGAAAGATAGATTGGTGAGTGAGTGTGTTATCAATGTATTTGTACTTACATTGTGAAACTGTCGGTCAGTGGCGATTATGCGCTCATTACAATAAATATATTTGATATTTTCATTTTGGTGTTTGAGTATTTCCTGTCGGAGGGTGTGGTATTGGAGGGAATTTGAAATACGCCCGATAAAGGCATTGAAATCCAGTATATAACTGTGATGTTCCGACCAACATGTCTTTAGTACGATCCAGAACGCGACAGCTAGCAAGAGATCAAGAACCCCACCACTACTGTAGTAAAGGTGTTGCCTCCATTGAACACGTATAAAGTTGTGTCATCTTTATTTCTATTATATATTCAATATTTGTTATTACTATTATTGGTGAAATTACAACATAGTTGGCTTATACTTTATAAGCCTTTAATAGGTACATGCGATTAAGTTATGCTTAATTATTTTCTGTCATGTTTATCTGGATTCTACTCCTTCCCCAAAATAGTATTTCTGGATATAAAAGGAAAAGTATTCGTAATAAAAATTCGGCTTCTTCTTCACGTGGACAAATAACATGTCATGAGTAATGGAGGTCAGGTGTAAGTATTGTATTAGAACAAATATAATGTTATGTATCTGTCAGAAAGTCTGTGACAGGACATCTTATTTTCCTTTTTATATATAATTTATTCAGTGTTCATTACCGTCTTACTGACGGAGACAGATAACAAACAATATATTGTTTTGTACATGGTAACATTGACTATAGATAGGTCTGTGATAATAACGAGTGTGTATCATTCATTTTTACCATCAGCTGATTTGCAGCATGCATTAAAACGTCAGCACATATATCTTACAGTGTTCATGTATAATCACAGGCACCTGTATGGAACGTAAACAACACAATACATAAACACGTCCCTGTTGGGTGTCAAAAGCGATCGCTAAACACGTTCTTTTCGGATGCCAACACTATTCCCTAAATAAGTCACTGTCGAGTGCCAAGATCTATTCCTAAACATGTTCCGGTCAAATGCAAAGACTGATCCTTAAACATGTTGAATGCTACAAGCAAACTTAAAACATGTTCCTGTCTAGCAATATGATTGATCCTTGGAAATGTAGCTGTCGAGTGACACATTAGATCCCTAAACACATTCCTGTCGAGTGACCCATTAGATCCCTAAACAAGTTCCTGTCGAGTGACACATTAGATCCCTAAACAAGTTCCTGTCGAGTGTCACATTAGATTCCTAAACGCGTTCCTGCCGAGTGACACATTAGATCCCTAAACAAGTTCCTGTCGAGTGACACATTAGATCCCTAAACAAGTTCCTGTCGAGTGACACATTAGATCCCTAAACAAGTTCCTGTCGAGTGACACATTCTATCCCTAAACAAGTTCCTGTCGAGTGACACATTCTATCCCTAAACACGTTCATGTCAGTGACACATTCTATCCCTAAACATGTTTCTATCGAGTGACACATTCTAGCCCTAAACACGTTCCTGTCGAGTGACACATTCTATCCCTAAACACGTTCCTGTCGAGTGACACATTCTAGCCCTAAACACGTTCCTGTCGAGTGACACATTAGATCCCTAAACACGTTCCTGTCGAGTGACACATTAGATCCCTAAACAAGTTCCTGACGAGTGACACATTAGATCCCTAAACAAGTTTCTGTCGAGTGTCACATTAGATTCCTAAACGCGTTCCTGCCGAGTGACACATTAGATCCCTAAACAAGTTCCTGTCGAGTGACACATTAGATCCCTAAACAAGTTCCTGTCGAGTGACACATTAGATCCCTAAACAAGTTCCTGTCGAGTGACACATTCTATCCCTAAACACGTTCATGTCAGTGACACATTCTATCCCTAAACACGTTCCTGTCGAGTGACACATTCTAGCCCTAAACACGTTCCTGTCGAGTGACACATTCTAGCCCTAAACATGTTCCTGTCGAGTGACACATTCTATCCCTAAACATGTTCCTGTCGAGTGACACATTCTAGCCCTAAACACGTTCCTGTCGAGTGACACATTAGATCCCTAAACACGTTCCTGCTGAATGACACATTCTATCCCTAAACACGTTCATGTCAGTGACACATTCTATCCCTAAACACGTTCCTGTCGAGTGACACATTCTAGCCCTAAACACGTTCCTGTCGAGTGACACATTCTAGCCCTTAACATGTTCCTGTCGAGTGACACATTCTATCCCTAAACATGTTCCTGTCGAGTGACACATTCTAGCCCTAAACACGTTCCTGTCGAGTGACACATTAGATCCCTAAACACGTTCCTGCTGAATGACACATTAGATCCCTAAACACGTTCCTGTCGAGTGACACATTAGATCCCTAATCAGGTTCCTGTCAAGTGACACATTCTATCTCTAAACACTTTCCTGTCGAGTGACACATTAGATCCCTAAACATGTTTCTGTCGAGTGTCACATTAGATTCCTAAACGCGTTCCTGCCGAGTGACACGTTAGATCCCTAAACACGTTCTTGTCGAGTGTCACATTAGATTCCTAAACGCGTTCCTGCCGAGTGACACATTAGATCCCTAAACAAGTTCCTGTCGAGTGACACATTAGATCCCTAAACAAGTTCCTGTCGAGTGACACATTAGATCCCTAAACAAGTTCCTGTCGAGTGACACATTCTATCCCTAAACAAGTTCCTGTCGAGTGACACATTCTATCCCTAAACACGTTCATGTCAGTGACACATTCTATCCCTAAACATGTTTCTATCGAGTGACACATTCTAGCCCTAAACACGTTCCTGTCGAGTGACACATTCTATCCCTAAACACGTTCCTGCCGAGTGACACATTAGATCCCTAAACAAGTTCCTGTCGAGTGACACATTAGATCCCTAAACAAGTTCCTGTCGAGTGACACATTAGATCCCTAAACAAGTTCCTGTCGAGTGACACATTCTATCCCTAAACAAGTTCCTGTCGAGTGACACATTCTATCCCTAAACACGTTCATGTCAGTGACACATTCTATCCCTAAACATGTTTCTATCGAGTGACACATTCTAGCCCTAAACACGTTCCTGTCGAGTGACACATTCTATCCCTAAACACGTTCCTGTCGAGTGACACATTCTAGCCCTAAACACGTTCCTGTCGAGTGACACATTAGATCCCTAAACACGTTCCTGTCGAGTGACACATTCTAGCCCTAAACACGTTCCTGACGAGTGACACATTAGATCCCTAAACAAGTTTCTGTCGAGTGTCACATTAGATTCCTAAACGCGTTCCTGCCGAGTGACACATTAGATCCCTAAACAAGTTCCTGTCGAGTGACACATTAGATCCCTAAACAAGTTCCTGTCGAGTGACACATTCTATCCCTAAACACGTTCATGTCAGTGACACATTCTATCCCTAAACACGTTCCTGTCGAGTGACACATTCTAGCCCTAAACACGTTCCTGTCGAGTGACACATTCTAGCCCTAAACATGTTCCTGTCGAGTGACACATTCTATCCCTAAACATGTTCCTGTCGAGTGACACATTCTAGCCCTAAACACGTTCCTGTCGAGTGACACATTAGATCCCTAAACACGTTCCTGCTGAATGACACATTCTATCCCTAAACACGTTCATGTCAGTGACACATTCTATCCCTAAACACGTTCCTGTCGAGTGACACATTCTAGCCCTAAACACGTTCCTGTCGAGTGACACATTCTAGCCCTTAACATGTTCCTGTCGAGTGACACATTCTATCCCTAAACATGTTCCTGTCGAGTGACACATTCTAGCCCTAAACACGTTCCTGACGAGTGACACATTAGATCCCTAAACAAGTTTCTGTCGAGTGTCACATTAGATCCCTAAACATGTTTCTGTCGAGTGTCACATTAGATTCCTAAACGCGTTCCTGCCGAGTGACACATTAGATCCCTAAACACGTTCCTGTCGAGTGACACATTAGATCCCTAAACACGTTCCTGTCGAGTGACACATTAGATCCCTAAATACTTTCATGTCAAGTAACACATTAGATACCTAAACATGTTCCTGTCGAGTGACACATTCTATCCCTAAACACGTTCATGTCGAGTTACACATAAGATCCCTAAACACATTCCTGTCGAGTGTCACATTAGATCCCTAAAGCGTTCCTGTCGAGTGACACATTAGATCCCAAATCAGGTTCCTGTCAAGTGACACAATAGATCCCTAAACACGTTCCTGTCGAGTGACACATTAGATCTCTTAACACGTTCCGTCAAGTGACACATTCTATCCCTTAACACGTTCCTGTCGAGTGACACATTAGATCCCTAAACACGTTCCTGCTGAATGACACATTAGATCCCTAAACACGTTCCTGTCGAGTGACACATTAGATCCCTAATCAGGTTCCTGTCAAGTGACACATTCTATCTCTAAACACTTTCCTGTCGAGTGACACATTAGATCCCTAAACATGTTTCTGTCGAGTGTCACATTAGATTCCTAAACGCGTTCCTGCCGAGTGACACATTAGATCCCTAAACACGTTCCTGTCGAGTGACACATTAGATCCCTAAACACGTTCCTGCTGAATGACACATTAGATCCCTAAACACGTTCCTGTCGAGTGACACATTAGATCCCTAATCAGGTTCCTGTCAAGTGACACATTCTATCTCTAAACACTTTCCTGTCGAGTGACACATTAGATCCCTAAACATGTTTCTGTCGAGTGTCACATTAGATTCCTAAACGCGTTCCTGCCGAGTGACACATTAGATCCCTAAACACGTTCCTGTCGAGTGACACATTAGATCCCTAAACACGTTCCTGTCGAGTGACACATTACATCCCTAAATACTTTCATGTCGAGTAACACATTAGATACCTAAACATGTTCCTGTCGAGTGACACATTCTATCCCTAAACACGTTCATGTCGAGTTACACATAAGATCCCTAAACACATTCCTGTCGAGTGTCACATTAGATCCCTAAAGCGTTCCTGTCGAGTGACACATTAGATCCCAAATCAGGTTCCTGTCAAGTGACACAATAGATCCCTAAACACGTTCCTGTCGAGTGACACATTAGATCTCTTAACACGTTCCGTCCAAGTGACACATTCTATCCCTTAACACGTTCCTGTCGAGTGACACATTAGATCCCTAAACACGTTCCTGCTGAATGACACATTAGATCCCTAAACACGTTCCTGTCGAGTGACACATTAGATCCCTAATCAGGTTCCTGTCAAGTGACACATTCTATCTCTAAACACTTTCCTGTCGAGTGACACATTAGATCCCTAAACATGTTTCTGTCGAGTGTCACATTAGATTCCTAAACGCGTTCCTGCCGAATGACACATTAGATCCCTAAACACGTTCCTGTCGAGTGACACATTAGATCCCTAAACATGTTCCTGTCGAGTGACACATTAGATCCCTAAATACTTTCATGTCGAGTAACACATTAGATACCTAAACATGTTCCTGTCGAGTGACACATTCTATCCCTAAACACGTTCATGTCGAGTTACACATAAGATCCCTAAACACATTCCTGTCGAGTGTCACATTAGATCCCTAAAGCGTTCCTGTCGAGTGACACATTAGATCCCAAATCAGGTTCCTGTCAAGTGACACAATAGATCCCTAAACACGTTCCTGTCGAGTGACACATTAGATCTCTTAACACGTTCCGTCCAAGTGACACATTCTATCCCTTAACACGTTCCTGTCGAGTGACACATTAGATCCCTAAACACGTTCCTGTCGAGTGACACATTAGATCCCTAAACATGTTCCTGTCGAGTGACACATTAGATCCCTAAACACTTTCCTGTCGAATGCTACAACCAATCCCTAAACATGTTCCTGTCGAGCACCATGAGTGATCCCTATACACGTACCTTTTGAATGCCACAACCATTCCCTAAACACATTCCCATGGAATGCCAAGACAAATACCTAAACACGTTCCTGTCAAGTACCATGACTGGTCCTAAAACATGTCCTTGTCGAGTGACATAGGCCAAATTTAACTCTTTGTACAAGTCACACTAACTGGCCTGCTCCTTTTGCACATGGTTACAAGACTTCCACAATGTACATTTAAATATTGCACATTTATATTATTAATTTAATATTTTTATCTTCAGCTTCCTCTTGTCTTCTAATTTCAGACTTTTTCCATAGTTTTATCATCAACCTACCAGTTCATCAATCTTTTCCTCTCAAGTATCCTTGGGTGATTAAGTATGACTTCAAATTCTGTTGATAGTCAAAATGATGCAGCAATGATGAATGAAATTTTCAAGTTCACCAAGATAAAATCTGAAATAGATCCCCATGATGCCAGAGATAATAAAGAACAGTGGGACCAAGATTGTGTGGAGAATGGAGCCACTGATCTGTTGGAGTTTGGTACTAATTGGAATGAAAGGAAAAATCCAGAATTCACTACAATAAATTATACAGGGAACAAAGATCTAAATAAAACATTTCAGAACAGTTTACATGACAGAAAATTCTCATTTATAGATGAAGAAATAACACCAATCTCAATTTTAGATTTAAATGAAGAGGAAAAACGGATTAGAACAACACTATTAAATAAGACGTTTGAACTGAAAATTGAACCTGATGACAATGTGTTAGGAAATGAACCTGATGACATTGAGCTAGAAAAAGCTGATGACAATGAGAGAAGAAGTGAAACTGATGACAGTAAGCTAGGATATGAGTCTAATAATGGAAAAGGAGGTAAGAAAGCTTACAATAGCAAGCAGCTAAACATAAGAAACACACTTTACAGAAAAGAATTAAGATATAACTCTTACGACAGTGAGTCAGGAAAAGACCCAAACAAGGCTGAGCTGGAAAGTGAGTCTGATGGTAGTGAGCTAGGAAATGAGCCTTGCATTAATGAGCAGGGAAATGAACCTTGCATTATTGAGCTGAGAAATGAACCCTGCATTAGTGAACAAGGAAATGAACCTTGCATTACTGAGTTAGGATGTAAACCTTGCATTAGTGGACTAGGCTTTGAACCTTGCAACAGTGAATTAGGATATGAATCTTGCATTAATGAGCTAGAATGTGAACCTTGCATTTATGAGTCAGGAACTGAGTTTTGCAACATTGAGCTAGGAAATAAACCTTGTACTAGTGAACAAGGAAATGAACCTTGTACTAGTGAACAAGGAAATGAACCTTGCATAAGTGAACAAGGAAATGAACCTTGCATTAGTGAACAAGGAAATGAACCTTGCATTAGTGAACAAGGAAATGAACCTTGCATTAGTGAACAAGGAAATGAACCTTGCATTAGTGAACAAGGAAATGGATCTTGCATTAGTGAACAAGGAAATGAATCTTGCATTAGTGAGCCAGGAACTGAAATTTGCAACAATGAACTAGGAAATGAACCTTTTGCCTTAGGTCACCCATTTACATGTAAGAAATGTGATAGAGGATTTTCTTTTACAGAACATTTACAAGAACATATTCAGAGTCAGCAAAATTGTAAACCACACCAGTGTGAAATATGCAATAAAACCTTTCGTCAGCCATGTGATTTAAAGAAACATTTTCGAATTCATACCGGAGAGAAGCCATTTAAATGTGAAATTTGTGGTAAGGTCTTTAGTGACAATGGAAACCTTCACAAACATTCTAAGGTTCATACAAAGGGCGGTTACTCATGTGAAGTCTGTGGAATTTATTTTCGTACGAAACCAAGTATGTTGAAACATTCCCGGACACACTTAGGGGACAGACCTTTTGTTTGTAATATTTGCAGTAAATCTTTTGCACGGAATGGCGGACTACGTGCACATCTTGAAATACACTCTGCAAAGAAACCTTTTGCATGTCATATTTGTGGGAAGGAATTCCGTCGCAAAGGAAACTTACAGGAACACCTAGAATTACATACAGGACAGAGGATGTTTACATGTGGTATATGTAAAAAGGAATTCAGTATTAAAATTAATTTGAAAAAGCATCTTCGAACTCACACTGGTGAAAAGCCTTTTAAATGTAAAATCTGTGCTAGAGGGTTTAGTGAGAAGGGGAGCCTACAAAAACACCATAGGATACATACAGGAGAAAAGCCATACAGGTGTGAGGTTTGTGGGAAGGATTTTAGTATGAGTAGCAGCTTACAGAGGCACACAAGAATCCATACTGGAGAGCGACCATATGGATGCAGTATTTGCGATAAACGGTTTAATAAGAAAGAGATCCTACAAGTTCATATCAGGACACATACTGGTGAGAAACCCTACACATGTGCTGTGTGTGACAAACGTTTTAGCGAGAGTGGGAGTCTGCAGATTCACATGCGCATTCATACAGGTGAAAAGCCTTATAAATGTCACCTATGTGAGAAGGATTTTAGTCAGAGTAGTAGTTTAAAACGACATGTAGAATTACACATGGCAATGAGGAAACTGGACATCATACAAACACCAGCGACATCCATGATTGTAACATAGATTTTATTATACATTTTCCACCTTTCAATGGAACAAAATTTAGCAATTTTTCCAAACTCTTGAAGCAAAGCTGACATTTATTTATAATAATATTGTTTTTGAATTCTCTCCTTTTTTTTTTAAAAATACCATACCATCAACTCATTATAACAACCTCTTACTGTACGCCCTATGACATGGAAGAGATAATTCACTATGATATCATATATAAATATAGTGCAAAATAAATGCAGCATTTCAGATGAAATATGAAGCTTAAAGATTACAAAAAGCATTGTAGAATTTTAGATGAAACATCAGCTGTTTCCTTTCAGCTTAACTACATGTACTTAGAATTTGTCTTTAACCCAGCACTATTTGTTGGGTTGATCGTCATCTTATTAAGAGTGAGGCGTTATTTTGAGAAGCCTGTTTTACTGGCCACACAATACACTTTGCAATAAAGTTCATTAGACAACATAACTTGTATATCAAAAACTGTATACGACTTATTTCAAGACATGTAAAGCTGATTTTAGACGGATGAATTGAAGTGAAATAGCCCAATGTTGTTATATTTTATTGTGTGTCGTTACTTAAATTGAGTGAACGGACCAATGTAACGTCTATCATGTGGTTTTGTAAACTTGGTTATTTTACTTGAAGATATGTCTAACAAAATTTTTATTTTCCAACTCATATTTTTCAATGATATCGCTGAAATTGTTGTATTTCATCTTTCATGGTGAAATGAGAGAAAAGGATCAAAAGGACTGTGTGTAACAGAACTCGTGGGGAAATACCATTGATTAATTAATAGTTAAAATGATTATTCCTTGTGTTCATCTTGTTAAAACTGTGTTTATTGACACAATAAAATGTTCATATCTTAATGACAACTTGTTTTTAGTGATGACATGACACAATTTTGAGAAAAATGTGTTTTTATTTGCTTACTGCTACACATAAAATGACCCCAATACCAGAGAGTGACCCAATACATTTGTTGTGTATACATAACACCAGTACACAGTACACAATAAGGCTTTTGACAGTAAGGAACAAACACAAAAAAGAAAAGATAATTTTTGTTTCTACATCTCCAATTTAAAATGGACTTTTTTAAATGTTAAGAAATAAGCAAGTGAAATGATGATCAGGTCACTGTCACTTACACAACTGTAAACTATACAACTTGTGTGTCCATGATCAAAATGACCATATGTTGATAAGTTTTCTTCAGAAAAATCACAAGGAGTATTGGCTTGTGTAAAATGGTGATAATTTCCTGATATCAGTATGTATCATCATTGCACCACTTATTTTATAGGGTCTTCTTGTGATAAGTGATTATGTCGTTTAACACAGTGGAGGCCCATTTGATGCTGTCCAGGGCAACTGAAGTAAAGTGTCTAGCCCGAGGACATGACAACAATAGCACAGACCAGTCTAGACCTTTACTTTCCTGATTAAGATAAAACACCATAGGTAAGTTGAACCACACCCTTCTCCTGAGGTGGCATAAGCCAAAACCCTACCAATGAACAATCATGATCAATTTCTGGTCATAAAACTACTGATTGAACTGTCATATGAACGTGCACAGGTCATCTACCATAATCGCATGCAGGCCAACAATCACTGAGTTAAGTCCGTGTGCAGGCCAACAATCACTGAGTTAAGTCCGTGTGCAGGCCACCACTTACTGAGTTGTGTTCATGTACAGGCCACCACTCACTGAGTTATGATCGTGTGCAGGTTAACACTCACTGAGATATGGTCGTGTGCAGACCAACACTCGCTGAGTTATGATCGTGTGCAGGTTAACACAGAGTTATGGTCGTGTGCAGGCCACCACTCACTGAGTTATGTTCCTGTGCAAACCAACACTTACTGAGGTATGATCGTGTTCAGGTCAACACTCACTGAGGTATGATCGTGTGTAGACCAACACTCACTGAGTTGTGTTCGTGTGCAAATCAACACTCGCTGAGTTATGATTGTGTACAGGCCAACACTCTTTGAGTTATGATCGTGTGCAGGCCAACACTCACTGAGTTATGATCGTGTACAGGCCAACGCGTACTGAGTTATGATCGTGTACAGGCCAACACGTACTGAGTTATGATCGTGTACAGGCCAACACGTACTGAGTTATGATCGTGTACAGGCCAACACGTACTGAGTTATGATCGTGTGGAGGCCAACATTCACTGTGGTATGATCGTGTGCTCTTATGATCATGTGCAGGTCACTACTCACTGAGGTATGATCGTGTGCAAGCCAAGATTCACGGAAGTATGATCGTGTTCAGGCCAGCACTCACTAAGTTGTGTTCGTGTGCAAATCAACACTAACTGAGTTTATGATCCTGTACAGGCCAACACTTACTGAGTTATGATCGTGTGCAGGCCACCACTCACTGAGTTATGATCGTGTGCAGACCAACAATCACTGAGGTATGATCGTGTGCAGACCAACAATCACTGAGGTATGATCGTGTTCAGGCCAACATTGACTGACGTATGATTGTCTGTAGGGCAATACTCACTTTTTGATATAGAAATTTTGATAGACAAATTTGACAAGCGTTTTTACATATTTTGGCCTGTAATTAAAGACAATGCCTGCAATGCTTTGACACTTTGTATAAGAGCGAAATACTAAGGGAAAATTCAATAGTAAGAGATCAAAGTACTGAGCGTACTGTTTTCCAAAATAATGCTGTATAACGTAAATTCTGAACTGTACCGGAAAAAAAAAAAAAAAAAACAGAAATTGAATTTTTGGAAAACATTACTTATCGTTTTCAATAGGAAGTGTACACGGGACCACAGGAGGTTTTTAAGGAAATTTCATTATTGTTTACCTCTAAAAATATGAAATTCAATTCTTAGGAAATTCTTGATTTATCGACGACTGTGACCATGAAAGTGAGCAAAGGTAATTTTTATTATCATACTCAATTGCCCATAATGTTAGCATGCTATACATGTGAAATATCAGGTCTTCAGGCTTCATAGAACTCAAGAAGATTCTAAACGTCTGGTAATTTAAATAACGTTTAGTGAAAATTTTGATCCCTATGGAAAACCGGAAGTGTGTCTTTTGTGGAAGTTTTTCTTACACCAATCAAAACCAATTCTCCGCAGACGGCTGTTGACAAAACCACGTAACTGTTTCCCGTTTAAAAATCAAGAAAACGTCATTTAATTTTATTAATATAATTGATGCCTGTTACCTGGAAAGTGGGTCAAAGTCATCCATATTACCAACATTTATAAACAATTGTATTACCTTTATATGCATAAGATATCAAGTCTCTTCAACAGGAGTTTCGTATACGTTGGTAAATATCGAACGTCTAGATCTTTCCAAACTTGAGAAGAAGTTTCTGGTAGTTTGGTGCCCTAAATTGCACTTTTAAGCTTTGACCCCTACGGAAAACCGGAAGTTAACGTTTTACACAAAAATGGCCTTTATTTTTAATTCTAAATAACACACCCAAAAATTATTTCAAAATGTCATGTCATTATTGAGATATTGACGTTAGGACAAAAATCAAACATGGCGTCATGGCGGCCATTTTGTATTTTCGACAAAGTTGAAAATTACGTCAGAATTTAGAGTTCATGTTACCAAACCTATACCATAATAGTTAAACAAAATTTCATTGAAAGATCTTGGAATACTTTTAGATCAAACTTTTTGTCTGCACTTGACATGAAACTATGGATTTTTTTTAAATGACATAAAATATCATAGAAAGATGTCACAGAAGAATTGTAGCCTCAAAAATGATCGGATTGACATTTTGCATTGAACTGTAGAAAACAAAATCGAAAAAAAATAATAATTTTTTTTTCTTTTGCTATTTTTTTAACTTGATGAAGTCACCAATTTTACGAAAGACCATTCTAACAGCTGTGAAGTTCCCAAAGGGTATCCATCATTTGCTACTTTATAATGTTCTTTAATCTCACACATTGCTGTCACTTGTAAATGAGAAGTGGGCGAGATAGTCATGTTGTCTAATTAGTGTTTTAATGTCTCTAGCTTTCAATTTCGATTTATTAGGTATTTCAAAAAAAAATAGTTTTGCATTTCTTGTTTCAAATGTACTAGTCAAGAGACCATTAAGTTATATAACACAACTAAATATAATTTTGATTTAATTAGATATACCTACTATCACGTGGACCACAGGCTTCTATACTTGTAACGTATAAAAGATACAGGTTAATGAAAATTATGGAGAAGTTGTACGGCCGCCATAGTGATTTATTTAGAAATATTCTATTTCTTCGTGCGATTTGCAGTTGGATGTTCCGTCGTTGTGGACCTTGTTCTCGTTTGAGAACGTGGCATTATTTGGTTTGACCATTATCTATATAGCGGATGTCGTCAGTGGAGCAGAAGACGTTTATTCTTCCGAAATGCCTGATTCGAAAAAGAGTCCCCGTATTAATATTTCGTGTGTCCATATTTCTCCGTAGTTTTATTGAATTTGAGTTTGGGATTATGTGGACATGTTTGCATTTAATGTTATTGTACTTAACGTACTAGCCAGATGTACACTCATGTAATATTCTTCAATTAGAGGTAACGTTCTAAAGAGCTTGTGTTATGTCTTTTGGATAATATTGAAACTAAAATCCCTTCCATATGATTTCCATTATTTTTTTCAAAACATCTCACGGTCGGCCAAATGCTTTTTGAAGGTTGAATATAACAAGACCAATGTAAGAACCGTTCGTCCCCTGACTTTCTTTAAAATACGTTACTGTCCAATGTTTTCAATCCTGAACCAACTGTTTTGAAGCTGAGCCCCTAATACCTATGATACGTGTATGTGTGCATGTGCTAAGCGTTCGTGTACACTAAATCAATTATTGTAGAGAAGAAAATATACGGACATATGTGCTAGGTTTTGCTGTGATACTGTAAATTAAGTACAACGATGTATGTGCCTGAACAAGCTTCCCTCTTCCGACTGCGGTACTCCATGTGAATGGTACATCACTTCCCAAATTAGGCTATATCATTTACATCTGGGTCAGTTCATTGTTTTTGAGGTAGTGTCTGACAGCACTTTGGACTTTATGTTGTATAGTGCTCGTTTCTCTGAGACATGATGTGAATTCTGGTTTAGATAAAAGTAGGTGATTGTACGTAGTGTACAATATTTTATCCCACGTAGTGAATGCTGGTTATAACTTTTGTATAATTCTTTTTGTGAAGAATTACATTATTAAATAGGAATTCATTTTTACCTGCTAATCATATATTGTATTTTTAAGTACACTTTAGTCTTACGATCTGTTGGCATTCAGAAAATGTGTATTGTAAAACAATAGAGGTGTGTATTATAAAACAACAGAGGTGTGTATTTGCTAAATAGTTTTCTTTTATTAGATTTTAAACAAGACAATCATGAGTCACACTACTGATAAAGGTTTCTTCCCATAAAACGTCTAGAGACAATTAACATTTTTCACGTCCAATCTCAATGTGTTCATCTCTATATCTGTCCGAATTTGATGTCCTGTTGATGTCCTCCCTAATCTCTGTCTTTCCTAAAGGGAAGAAAACACACAATTCGTAACATCTGTTTAGAATTATACATAACAAGGTTTTATAATTTGATTTGATGAAAATTAGGGTTCAATATATGTTTACTTTCCTGGACAAATACCATTGATTTCTTGCATATCAAAACAATATACATTTAATTAACTGGACAAAGTCGTAATGCACTCGCCTCTCACCTACGCTATTCCTCATCAAAAAGGTTCAGATTATAAGCCGCGCACGCGACAACCAAATGTTTTCTTATTTACTACCATTTCCTGCTTTACTTAGTTTCTTGATAATTAGGCTTCTACAATATACTTACCCAAGAACTTGCTCGTACTAGCTGCCTCCAAACAATTGCACTAGTGTTTAGCAATGGGTTGACGGCAGAATTGATCGTCAGTACAAACAAGATCACCCACCCATAGGCGTCATCCGGTATGGTGTATCCCCCTTTTGCCAGTATTCCTAAAAACAGCGTAGATTTACACTAGATGTATATACATATTAATATATGCAGTTGGGGTGTGTTAAAAAGGATGTACATTTTGTAACTATTGGAAATCAGACAGGACATTCCGTCTGAAACTTTTCGTTAGACGAAAATCACACATGTATATGTATATTCATATTTCCGTTTACTGAACACACCTTAGCGCAGCGCATGAAGGAAACTAGCGCTTGTCAATACGTACCCATAATACCGATAGGTAACCAACAGCAAAAGTCGGTCGCCACCACCAGGAAGAGGACTCTTGCTACATATATATCCAATTGACGAGTCTGTGTCATCAGTCCAGCACTTGTCTTTACACTTTTAAACATACAAAACTCTCCTAAGGCTACAACTATAAAGATGAAACTGTTCAGGCAAACGAACACTGCGAATGAGTATTCCGAACCAGATTGCTTGTCTCCTGTAAGTGGCAAGGTGAAACACACCCCTGATTGAGAATAAAATTCTCCTTTAAAGTACAACTTACTAGGAAATGCAGGAATTACTGCAATTACAACTGACATCAACCACAAGACTCCTGATGCAGCGAAAGCAAATTTCCTCGAAATTTTCTTTCTGGAATAAAGGGACATGGGGAACACTGTACGAAATGCTCTATCTATGGTTATTGATAAAATAAGAAAAGTTGACATTTCACTGGATATATTAAAGATTATACCAGCTAAGGTACATATTTGACTTTCTCTCCATGCTTGACTGTTCCACGAGTACACCCCTCTGTAACGGACATCGGCAGCGCCTATAATTAGTAGGTATATACCCATAAGACAGTCGGAGATACTCAGGAACAGCACAAAGATCGAAAAGGTGGTGATGGTGGTGGCATGTTTGGCGATATATAATGAATATATAATCACAAAAACGTTTCCAATCAAAGCAAAAACTCCGATTATCCAGAGACACATTTTTTGTGCATTGGAAGCAATCAAGTCATAACAGGATGATATCGCATCGGAGTAGCACAAATCATCTTTATACCTGCACTTCTCTATTTCAGATAAATCTTTAACACAATGATCGTCGTCAACAGATTCAGGTTTCACACAACACATGAAAGGAGTATCAGTAAGTAAGATTAAAAGCTGGTCTAAACCTTGAAATATGTGTTCTGTAACTCTAACCTCGTTGCCTACGATATTTAAAAACTTTAAGTTACTGCTGTTGGTGAATGTTCCAGTTGGTAAATCTAGAAAGGAATTGTAAGATATGTCCAGGAAGGATAGAGACGAAGGTAAGACAGGTAAGGCAGATAACATATTATTGGCAAGATATATACCTTCAAGTCGAGATAGTTCTTCAAATGAATCACGAGGGAAAGCTGTTAATCCGTTATTAATTAGAGACAGATTTCTAAGTCTATGAAGTCCAGTAAAGATATTTTCTTGAAATTCTCTTAACCGATTGTTATCTAGAATAAGATCGCTGAGGTTAAAGAGTCGACCAAAAATGTATTTTGACAGAACTCTTATCTGATTGTTCTCTAGATGTAAATAGGACAGAGCAGGTAGTCCATCAAATAGGTTACTTGAAAGATCTGTAATTTCATTGTGAGAAAGATCCAGTTTTATCAGTGAAAAGAGTCCATAAAATACATGGTCTGGGATCTCTTTTATCTTATTGTTTTTTAGATGTAAATAGGTAAGAGCAGATTGTCTATCAAACGGGTTGTCGTTAGACAGATCCATCAGCCTATAGAATAGATTACCAGGAAGACCCATTATTTCATTGTTAGACAAATCAAGATAGCTAAGGACAGATAATCCATCCAAAAGATCCTCTGGAAGATCTCTTATTCCATTGTTAGACAGATCTAGATAGCTAAGGGCAGATAATCCATCAAAAAGATCCGCTGGAAGATCTCTTATTTCATTGTTAGATAGATCTAGATACGTGAGGGCAGAAAGGTCATCAAATGGATAAGTCTTTTCGAATAGTTCATCAGTCTGACCTGGAAGAAAAGATATTCTATTTTTCGACAGATCAAGATAGGTAAGGGCAGATACTCCGCTAAACAAATTATCTTGAAGAACTACAATACGGTTATTGGACAGATCAAGTTCTTTAAGTGAATAGAGTCCATAAAGTATATAATTTGAGAGTGCTGTTATCAGATTGTTGTTTATATGTAGACGAGTGAGAGCAGACAGACCATCAAATAGAACATCTGGAAGAGCTGTTATTTTATTGGTGGACAAATCTAGAGAGGTAAGACCAGATATTCCATTTAATGGATTATCTGTCAGATTTACTATATCATTGAAGGACAAATCTAGAGAGGTAAGACCAGATATTCCATCAAACAGATTATCCGTAAGATTCGTTATTTTATTGTTTGACAGGTTTAGATATTTAAGAGCATAAAGGCCATCAAATAGATTATCTGGAAGAGATGTAATCTGATTGTTTGACAGATCGAAACAGGTAAGAGCAGACACTTGATCAAACCCATCATCTTTTTTAATGTCGGTAATCAGATCCAGCAATCCATCAACCAAAGTAAACAGGTCATCTATTGTTTTATCTATAGGCAGATCTGAAAGACCAGATTGTTCATCATATTCGTTATCTTGAAGATCTGATGTTGTAAAAAGATTATCAGGAAGAAATGTTATTTTGTTGTAAGACAAATCCAGCTTTGCAAGTGAAGGGAGACCGTGGAACAAAGTCCCTGGGAGGGATGTTATCTGGTTATTTTCTAAATCTAGATATGTAAGATCAGATAATCCAATAAAAATGTTGTCCGGAAGATCAATAATTCTGTTGTTAGACAGATCCAGTTTCAAAGGTGAAGAGAGTCCGTGGAATACGTTACCAGGTAAACGATTGATTTGGTTAGATGATAGATCTAACGATAAAAGACTAGACAAGTCTTGGAAGACATACGGAGTTAAAGAGGACCATATATTACTATTAGACAACCTAAGTGATTTCAGGGTATATAACCCCGTGGTTAAATTGCCTGTTAATGAGGAGATGTCTGTTAGCTCTAGATAAGTAAAGTTTGACAAGTTAAGAGAATCCGCAGATAGTGGATCGCTCTCGTTTGTCATAATGGAGACATTCTTGAAATGGGACCGTAGAACAGTCAGGGGACTATCACGGACGCTGACGATTAAACCTAGACACATACAGATTGGCTCTGAAGCCCAGTCACAGTGAGTCTCGTCACGATTGCCCTTACACTTGCATTCATCGACACACTTTTCCTTCGTGAAGTTTCTGGGTACTTCACAAGAGTGGTTCACTGTACAGTGTAGTTCTGAAACACATTTATAAGGTATATCTAAACACGTGATGATCGTGATGTACAGAATCATAGTTACATGTAAGTATGTACTATAATCCGTCCTGATGTAGAGATCGAGATGTAATTACTTAATATACAAAAATATAGATTGAAAAAATGGAAAGTAAAATATGGTGTTTCATTAGGCATTATAATTGTTTTCCTTATCTGGTCTAGGTAAAATTAGTGAAGCAAGATTCTAGTTTTACATAGGAAAATTTATAGTAAGAACTATAAGAATTTATTTCAATAAATTAATGCTGTATGGCTTTTTTTGATGGTAAATTGTTTTTATTATCGTCCTTAAATATCAGTATACAACCAAACATTATCATGTAACATTTTATTAATTGCATTTGAACTTTTTTCTCTTGCATCTTAGCAACAATTTATTTTAGTTGGAAACAATGTAGGACACCATTGAAATGATATACATGTGAGTCAATAAATGGTAACACCATGTCATTAATATCAATCTTTCACCCTAAACCAAGTGCATGATGTAAGAAATTAAACAGAGATATATATAAACATTGTTTAAAACGAAAGCCGTGAACTCGTCTTTTTCCCTTGAGATAACTCTAATGATTCTAACAAGAGAGAGTAGGTCATTCTTCATTTATGTATATATATTTGGTTCCAAACCTGGATTTACAAATAGAGAATTTTGTGCCTCTTGATATGTATAGTTTAAAAGATCATGCACATTACAAATTCCTTCTGAAATAGAAGCGGAAATTATATTTTTATTATGCAACTTACATACGAAAATAACAAAAAAAAAAAAAAAAAAAAACAAGAAAATTAAATTGGACTGATACCAAATCTAATTTGCTATATTCGCGCTCTAATTATGAGGTCACAATGAACGTCCGTCACATTTCTGCTGGATCATAAACACCAACTGTGTAACACTTTGAAGTGATTGTTGTCGTACTGATGGAGGGGTACTTATGCTATAAAAGTATTTGTAGTGTAATATTTACCACATTCGTGTCCTGTTTCCCGTCCTGGACACTGAAAGTCACATCTGTGGCTGACGTGATCGTACGAGGGATCTTGACACGCGTATGGATTCCTGTATTGAAACTGTTCATCTGATGAAATAATTGAAATTGACATATCAGTATTCATTTTTTCATATTTTGTAAATACAAATGACATAATTAAACCAAATTCAGAAGTGTTGTCCCTGAGGTTTGCTGTAACCTTCATGACATGGAGCATTACAAATCATGGGGATATTGCACTTCGACATATATTTCGACTGATTCGGACTTTTAAAATAACCTAGAAGGACGAAACAGCTGTATAATGTAACATCACTGAAAAAAATTATATGAAATGTCACACTGACAAATCCTAGAAGAACGAAACAGCGGTATGATGTAACATCACTGAAAAAAATTATATGATATGTCACACTGACAAATCCTAGAAGAACGAAACAGCGGTATGATGTAGCATCACTGAAAAATTATATGATATGGCACACTAACAAATCCTAGAAGAACGAAACAGCGGTATGATGTAGCATCACTGAAAAATTATATGATATGACACACTAACAAATCCTAGAAGAACGAAACAGCGGTATGATGTAGCATCACTGAATAAATTATATGAATCCTAGAAGTAGGAAATAGATATGGCACACTGACAAATCCTAGAAGTAGGAAATAGATATGGCACACTGACAAATCCTAGAAGTAGGAAATAGATATGGCACACTGACAAATCCTAGAAGTAGGAAATAGATATGGCACACTAACAAATCCTAGAAGTAGGAAATAGATATGGCACACTGACAAATCCTAGAAGTAGGAAATAGATATGGCACACTAACAAATCCTAGAAGTAGGAAATAGATATGGCACACTGACAAATCCTAGAAGTAGGAAATAGATATATGGTGCATTTTAATATTGTATTTTGTTCTACTGTATCTTGCATTATATTGGAAAGTGTCATTGCTGAATATTCTTATTTGTTGACTATGTAGAAATTCTAATGAAAGTTACTCATTTAGAACGTTGTCAGGCAAATTATAAAGTTTCCACTTCAATAAACAAGCATTTGAAATTTGATATATAGAAAAAGAAAACGTAATGACATCCAAACAAAGATACAAATTTAAATAAGTGTTTCAAAAAGGTTTTGTTTAGATAAGACATGTCTAATGCATGAAAACATATACTGAATGACGAAGTTTTATTAATTTGAAACGGAAAATGTCGATTTAAACAACGCACAAAAATCAAAGGTGTACACGGTTGACGAGGCAATTTAAACTGCATACGATGGAACGGATTTTTGTATACCAGGTAGACATATTTTTATATATCTGTTATCTACATATGAATGTTATGTCAACATTTAACTGATTAAGACAGAAAGAGAATGATAATGCTATTTTGATATATGTCAAAAAGATTGACTTTGTTCGGTATTTAACATTGTACTGTGTGTGTTGCCTCTTTAACTGTCCGTCTTTGGATATCTGTAAGAAAATCCATGGCATTGTCTAATTTGACAGGAGATGGCCATGACGAAAGCTGGGCATGTCTTGTTGATTGTAGGTCCGGGTCTTATGTTTGTATGTTGAAGTGAGCTGGCTCTTATGAATGCGTATTTATCAGAGTGTTTGTCTGCTCGTACATGGTATGTATATGTGTACCATTTGTCTATAGTCTGTCTCTCTATCTGTCTGTCTTTCTTATTTTCATATCCCATATAAACAGCACAAAACTGCTTAAAAAGAAAAGCGTTTTTACAGCTTAACATTTGAACTGAACGCCTCTATCAAATTTACTACCCTAAGTAAAAATTTCTACTTTTTTTTTTTACAGTTATCATCGATGACTATTTCCTGATATACAATCTAATAGGTACTGAGAATTGTTGAGATTCAAAAACAAAAAGAAGAAATGCTTAAAGAACCTTACTTTCTTGGCATTCCTGTTCTTTTGGTGTTTCGGTTTGTGAGCGTTTATTTCTGATGTAAGGAACAGACGACATAACACCCAAGTCTTCATTCTTCCAGTGCTCACTCTTCTCAAATTTTTCCAGTTTTTCCAGATTTTCAATCGGATATATATCACGATGCAAAGAACAAGATATTCCGATAAAAATCCCCAGAGACAAAAGCCTGAGTAGGTCCATCATGATGATGTGTAATAGCGTTAAGATAACGAGAGACAAACGGTTATGAAAGTATCTAAGCGGGGTATTCTGGGCGCCTCGGCCGCGCAACTGTCGGTATCCTATCTGATGATCAACATCAAACGCATATCATTAACAATGACCGAATTATCGTTACCAAGAATTAGGAGCGGACATGACGCATGTATTCAATTAATACTGTCATCTCAGTTTTTCAGGCGTGGTATTGTGTTCACAAATCGGGTGATTGTATTCCGTTTGTCAGTATGATAATTTGTATATTTGATGCGAAAGAAGAATTTTGATAATATGGAGGTTATATTGGTTTAAGGCAGAGAGTTTGAACATAAAATTGATAGCGAGACATGTCCCCTGTACCTTTGTTGAGCTTGCCCACCTCATGACGTGAAACAAGATTTGGAAAATGGATATAGAACACATAACAAATAAACTTTGGTTATATGTTGTACACTTAATATCTCTTCACAAATGTAGCAAATAGATATGAAGGCATATTAAACGAAACTATCTATATCGGAGAGATAACGTGTTGTGTATTAAAACATTGGTAATGATGCTGATTAGCCTTTGTTACCAATTGGTATTTTTATGTCCAGGAATGTCAACTGAAAAACAATAAATACTTCAGATTTCAATCTCCAATTTGTTTTGTAATCAGGAAAGGCTCCTAAAATTGTTGTGATACCATACAAGATATCAGTCAGAGTTTTGAAAATCTATGAATATACAGAAACCAAATGTCAATGTCCACAACTATTTTTGTTTCTGTCTGTTCTTCTGAATTAGAAACGTGCAATTTTTAACCATTTATAGGTAACGAAATGGAGTATGCAATCGTTAAATATGTAAAATATCCGACAGTTTATTAAAATGAGTGATTCAGTGCCGGGTCTCCGTTTCCCACTTAATGACGTGTCCATATACGGATAATGTTCTTCGTTTCTAGCTCACGACCGTTGATTTTATATGAGTTGTTTCCTTTGGTCCCCTTGAGGAAGTTAGACAACCGTTGAAATGAGGTGTGATATGTTTGCTTGATGAGTTTATGTTGGCAGCGCCCCCAGTAACTTGAAAGGTACGAGCAACGCATAGACCAATAGAATATATTGTTACAAAGCCCGTGCAGTTTCCGCTAATGTCAACACCAAGGAATCACAGATCAACAGGACTGTCCTCTGCACTTCAAATGTAACACTGGACGTTCAATGATATCAACATCTCTCAGTTAGAATAAGCGTCTTCTGTTTCATCAACAACACCTACCACGTGACCTTGGTCGATCCAACAAACTAACGACCGTCAATCACGTCCAGTGTCATAACAAATCGAATATTTCTCCTTCGTTCGACCGTAAAACTTTTTGTCAACCTTGAGAACCTTGTGGTACAAGTTTGTTAGTTGATGTCTCCTTGCCCAAAACATATGTGACATCTTAACACCATAGTTTGGAAATGCAAGTGTAATGAAAAGTTTCAATAGGAAAACTTCAAATCATCACACATACAGCTTGGTGGAAAACTGTCTATGTTGGTTTCGTTGTAGGAAAAGGACTCGTGTAAAATAAAGAGATAGGAAAACTGTCCATCTTGGTTTCGTTGTAGGAAAAGGACTCGTGTAAAATGAAGAGATATTCGATGTGTAATGGTATAATAATAGAATGCCTTACCAAAAGACCTGAAGAGACATTCAATAATGTTCCTAATGTTCGGCATCATTCTTCATCGCTTCTTATCTTTTACCATATCAAATGTCACGTCATCATTACCAGTACGACTAATGTTCGATTTGTACATTATTATACCAAATTTCGCTCTGATTATCGTATAAACGTGGTACACAGACAGTACTTTCATCAATCACTTTTGGTTTGTCTACTTTTCATTAATCCTAACTATGCTGATATTGGCGAAAGCAGAAGAAGAGGGGGAACGATATTTAAGAATGCCCTTCTCTTTAACAGCTTTCAGTTGGCTTTTATAGATATATGAGGCAAATACACATTAAGCGAACTGAAAGCCGCATTTCCAGCTTTTTATGCTTTTATATATATATATTTCACTATTTAGACGTTTGGTTTAGTTTTTATATTTGTTTACCATATTGTAGTACAATAGTGTCTGACGTGTACAACACATATTTAGATGAAGTTTGTTTTACAGACTAAGGGGCACAAAGAAAATCCTTTCGAATCTTCTCCATGAATTAATCAATTAATCAATTCAATACAATAACAGGTAAGTAATTAATACATAAAAAAACATGCCAATTACCATTAACGCGATAAAATACTAAAACTAAGTTTTAAACACCAATATCGCAACTTAGTCTAATATACACTCTACGCCCAATCCCTATTCTCCGAAACGATGATTCAGTCACCGTGAATCATGTATTTTAGGATGCCAACAACTGAGTGAGTGGGACGCCTGGGAAACAAACAGTGTTATATTGTTACTGTCTTTACAGAAGATAATTTATGACTATTTATCTCAAATCTTCACATCATCGCAATGAGCATGTTCAAACTTTCGTCTCTCTATTTTCTTGTCGTATATACATGTGGTTTTCATCAAGTTGTATATCCAATGGACAATTTGGAAAAAGCGGATAGATTTGCGGAGGAGAATAATCAACGGAAGAATGAAGACTTAGATGTTAGAGCGTCTATTTCTAACATAAGTAAACGTACACAGACAGCGACTGAACAAAAATGCCTATGGGGTAAGAATTTCCAAAACCATTACATTGTTTTTAAATTTCAGAATTAAGACAAATTATTTTAAGTAAATATTGGAAATATGTCAGTTGATCATTTTGAAAATGACGTCAATGATATATATTTTTTATTTCAGAATAATTTATTGTCCGAAGTTCTTGATAGAAAAATAAATTGAGTACCAGGTCAAGCTTTTAAAATCCCTCTTCATATATATACACACAAGTTTAATGACACATGTATAAGATGAAAGATATGAATCACATCAGCACATGCAAAAGGAAACAGGAAACACTGCCATCGGTTATCATATTACATATTTGAAAGGTTATAATGCCATTAATTAAGTTTTCTCAAGGTCCAGTTCTTTGTAATGATGACGACACACACTAACTGTCCATATATACGCAATTATATGCCTCATTACCAATGGAGAATCAGTATCACTTTCATTTTGTAAATCCATGACAGATTAAGTAACACGCCATCATTTTGGAGGGAGGGGGGTGGTTTTATCAATAGGAGACGACTGTAATTTAGAAGGTATTTTTCTTTGACCTCTTACATTAAAGAAATATGTTCCTTTCAAATAGATCTAAATTTATTCCAAGAAGCTGGAGTGTTTATTTGCTTAGTCCTAGAATGCTGTCGATTTCTTTGTCTTATTTTCAGTCTAAGTTCATAAGTCATCCCAATTTTATCATTAGGTCTAACAGTTGCAGTTTTATTTGGTATAAATAGGTCTATAGCTACTAAAATGTTGTTAAAACAGAATTCATGTCATTAATATTACCTTGAAGTTGACGATTCCAGTCCACAAATCTCAGATATTATTTCGCTTCTTCCCAATTAGTATTGTCAACATAGAAAGGTGTTTTTATAGGCGTGCTTCTTAAAAGATTTGAAATTCAATTGTTATAATTCTGCTGAATGAATCTACACTTTCTTCCTATTTGCAACATTCACAAAAGAAAAGTTAATCCTAACATGTACATTTCAATTTTTTCAACAGGGTCTCTTTACAGGGAGAAATACAAGTGTCCAGATCCCTCCTATTTTCAGCTTATCTACAGATGTAATTTACAGTGTCCAGGACATGAGAAAGGACACGACTGCGGTTAGTATCCAAATGCTTGTATCATATAACTACCTCAGCACAATAACACACACAAGTCTGTGTTAAAATACAGGGTAAAACCATCTAGCATTATTCTTATTGACTTCTATATAAATTCTTAGCTTCATATGCATTCTGACGTCATCAAAAAGCATTAACTATAAGATTTAGCATATCAAGATTTAAAGTATTTTATGTAAAAAGATTTATTAATATGAATAAAAAATGCTGGGTTTGGAGAAACGTCAAAATGTCTCAAAGAAACACAATTACTATCGTCTTTAAACCCAAATCACCTTTGGATGGAAAATGAAGAGTTCATAGGTTTCGGTTACATTAAGTTTTCTTTTTCTTTTTTTTTTGAACTCAAAACAATATCAAGAGAAAGAATGAATCAACATAAATTTTGCTAAGCCACCTCAAAATAAAAAGCCATCAGTGAACAAAAAAATTTTAAAGTCTCAATGTTATCAATAATATCAATGTTAGGAAATGTAAAGCTGAGTTTAAGGCTTTTACAAAGGACAAGTTTCTCTAGAAAAAATTTTTTCCTTTAAAATGCATTTCCTTTCTGAAATTCGATTCTGTGTATTTATGGATTAAAGGTATTTTTTAATTATCTACATTTGAAAGTAGATGTTAATTTAACATATTTAGTAACAATTTTTTCCTGAACCTTGAGTGATTATATAATGCATACTTCAAATTAAAAATATTGATATATATGCCAAGATATAGTTTTTATTATAATTTTAAAAAAAAAGACATATAATAGATTTGGTAATACGACAAGGCTAACGTCAACATGTAAACATAATGTTACTTGAAACTCAAATTCAAATTACCTAGAGTGAAATACAAACAAAAGTGACATCTCTGCTAGAAAATTACTTCAAAGTTTACAATAAACATTACAATATACCTTATAAATGTGTTTCAGAACTACACTGTACAGTGAACTACTCTTGCCTAGCACCTCGAAACATCACTACGAAAACGTGTGCAAACGCATACAAGTGTAAGGGCAATCATGACGAGACTCACTGTGACTGGGCTTCAGAGCCAATCTGTATGTGTCTAGGTTTAATCGTCAGCGTCCGTGATAGTCCCCTGACTGTTCTACGGTCCCAATTCAAGAATGTCTCCATTATGACAAACGAGAGCGATCTACTATCTGCTGATTCCCTTAACGTGTCAAACTTTACTTATCTGGAGCTAACAGACATCTCTTCATTAACAGACAATTTAACCACGGGGTTATGTAACCTGAAATCACTTAGGTTGTCTAATAGTAATATTTGGTCCTCTTTAACTCCGTATGTCTTCCAAGACTTGTCTAGTCTTTTATCGTTAGATCTATCATCTAATGAAATCAATCGTTTACCTGGTAACGTATTCCACGGACTCTCTTCACTTATAAAATTGGATCTGTCTAACAACAGAATTTTAGATCTTCCAAATAACCTGTTTGATGGACTATATAGTCTATCCTATCTTGATCTGTCTAAAAATGGAATATCTCTTCTTCCAGGACTCTATGGTCAGTTTTACGATATGACTGTTCTATTTGAGGAATTATCTGCTCTAACCTATCTAGACCTGTCTGACAACAGAATAATAAACCTTTCTGATAAACAATTTAATGGTATATCTCAAATTACATATTTCAATCTGTCTAACAATAGAATAAAAGATATTCCTGATAACCTATTGGATGGGTTATCTGATCTTACCTATTTAGATTTAGAAAACAATCAGATAACACATCTACCAAGAAATGTGTTCTACGGACTCGCTTCACTTGAAATACTGGATTTGTCTAACAATAGGTTAGCACATATTCCAACACAACTTTTTAATGGACTTTCTGCTCTTCAAAATCTAGATTTGTCCACAAATGAAACATTTGATCTATTAGATAATCCAGTTAGTGGACTGTCTGATCTTATTTTGCCAGATCTGTTTGTAGATGGAACTATGGATAATGTACTTTACAAGGTAGTTGATGTATTTCTGGATTTGTCTAAAGATACAAAACCAAGTAAACTACCTGATGACATATCTGCTCTTACCTTCATCGATCTGTCCAACAATGAAATAATAATTCTACCAGATAATCTATTTGGTGAACTATCGGCTCTTATCTTCCTAGATCTCTCCAACAACAAATTGACTAATCTTCCAGGTAATATATTTGATGGGTTATCGGCCCTTACCTATCTAGATTTCTCTAACAATAGAATTAACTTTAATCAAGGTTCCCAAGTGTTGGCGATTTTCGATACCAGTCCTGTTTCATTTTATGAACTATCTGCTCTCAAGTATTTGAATATGTCTAACAATGGAATAACGTATCTTCCAAATTACCTATTTGAAGGACTAACTAGTCTTACTTATCTAGATCTGTCTAACAACAATGTATCCGTTCTTCCACATAGTGATTTGTCTAACGATAAAATTATTCCAATATTTGGACTACCATCTCTTACTTATCTAAACCTGGAGAACAATCAGATAACGGAGCTCCCTAACGATATTTTTAATGTACTCTCTAACCTTAAGTCTCTACATCTAGGTAACAACCATATAAAGAAGATCCTAGTACACACCTTTACTCGACTCCATAGACTTCGAAATCTTTCTCTTATCAATAACGGATTAACAGTTTTCCCTCGCGATTCATTTAAAGGACTATCTCGGCTTGAAGGTATTTATCTTACCAACAACAAGTTATCTTCCTTACCAGTCTTACCTTCGTCTCTATCCTACCTGGACATATCTTACAATTCATTTCTAGATTTACCAACTGGAACATTCACCAACAGCAGTAACTTAAAGTTTTTAAATATCGTAGGCAACGAGGTTAGAGTTACAGAACACATATTTCAAGGTTTAGACCAGCTTTTAATCTTACTTACTGATACTCCTTTCATGTGTTGTGTGAAACCTGAATCTGTTGACGACGATCATTGTGTTAAAGATTTATCTGAAATAGAGAAGTGCAGGTATAAAGATGATTTGTGCTACTCCGATGCGATATCATCCTGTTATGACTTGATTGCTTCCAATGCACAAAAACTGTGTCTCTGGATAATCGGAGTTTTTGCTTTGATTGGAAACGTTTTTGTGATTATATATTCATTATATATCGCCAAACATGCCACCACCATCACCACTTTTTCGATCTTTGTGCTGTTCCTGAGTATCTCCGACTGTCTTATGGGTATATACCTACTAATTATAGGCGCTGCCGATGTCCATTACAGAGGGATGTACTCGTGGAACAGTCAAGCATGGAGACAAAGTCAAATATGTACCTTAGCTGGTATCATTTCTAGTATATCCAGCGAAATGTCAACTTTTCTTATTTTATCAATAACCATAGATAGGGCATTTCGTACAGTGTTGCCCCTGTCCCTCTATTCCAGAAAGAAATTTTCTAAAAGATGTGTCTGCGTTGTATTGGCATTCTCATGCTTGGTTTCTGTTGCAATTGCAATCATCCCTGTTTTTCCTAGTAAGTTGTACTTTAAAGGAGAATTTTATTCTCAATCAGGAGTGTGTCTCGCCTTACCACTGACAGGAGACAAGCAATCTGGTTCGGAATACTCATTCGCAGTTTTCGTTTGCCTGAACAGTTTCCTCTTTGTAGTTATAGCCGCAGGTCAGCTTTGTATGTTTAAAAGCATAAAGACAAGTTCTAGACGGATGACTTCGACACAGACTCGTCGACGTGATAAAACTGCAGCAAAATCCCTCTTCCTGGTGGTGGCGACCGACTTTTGCTGTTGGTTTCCTATCGGCGTTATGGGTTTGTATTCAATCAAAAATCATATTGACAGAAATATAACGAAAAGTATTCATCTCGCGAAAAAAGGAAAAAAAACAAAAACAAACAAAAAACGAGAAAAATGAATTAAAAAAACTAAATAAATTAAAACAAAATAAAAACAAAAAAATAAACGAAATAAAAAATTGAAAAAAAAAAAAACGAAAAAAGTCCCACCCTTCCTGTCTGCTACAGACTTTTAAACCCTTCCTCAAATTGCCTTGGATATACTTACTACCGATATAAAACTAATTTTAGGATTAATGGCAAAGTGTGGATACCAGATACCAGATGACGTGTATGCGTGGGTGATGGTGTTTGTGTTACCAGTAAATGCAGCTGTTAACCCGTTCTTATATACTGGAACAGCTGTTTGGAGGAAACGGCAAAGAGTAAGTTATCAATAATTCGCCTCGCTCGATTATATTTTATTTAAACAAGCAGAATTCAAGGTTTGGGTTCCGACTTTGACGTTATATGCATTTTGTGCCTATTCCGATAGTATTAGGTAAATGATCTAGAAGGATAGCCTACTACACAGAATATTGAATAATTTTTTTATAAATGGCAGAGGAAGATCAATTATTAATAGTATTTACCTATTCAGGAATCGTGCAAAAGATACATAAACGAACAGCACATTTAATCATATATATAATTATGTTAAGCAAGTTAATTACTCTGGCCCCATGACTCTGTTTTGTCCTTTTATGACTTATTAGTGATGCTATTGGTATGAAGTGTGAAAATCTAGATTGAAAACAGGTATATTCTTTATATAATTTTATTGGATGATTATCATACAACAGTAAAATGATATTATTGTGACGTCAGAAAATAATTAGGTCATGTGACAGTCAATGAGCAAATGAGAAAAAATACAAGTAGTTTTCAAATTCGATGTGTTCTTGATAAAAATAACTTTTACTTGTGTCACTATATTGTAGAAACCTCGTTATATATATATGTATGCAAAGGTTTAAAACACTCAATTTTGTCATTACTTATTCATTTGGATTCCGTGCCTCGGGATCTGATTGGAAACAGAACATCTCGTGAGCTATCGCTTATAACATGGCGTTCACACGTGGTTTTATCTTTTAATACAGGTCACACACACACAAACAACACACAAACACACACTCAGACACACACATACACACCTACCACACACACACACTCACACCCTCACACACACACGCACACCCTCACACAACACACACACACACACACCCACACACACACTAACACACACACTAACACACACACACCCTCACACACACTCACACACACACAACACACACACACACTAACACACACACACACACACTAACACACACGCACACACACATACACTAACACACACACACACACACTAACACACAAACACACACACTAACACACACACACACACGCACACTTTTAAAATTCTATGGTCAGTTTTCGAAATAAGTTATTTATGTTTTTTTCTGTTTAGGATCAAACGACGAAAAGCACGTCAACCTCGTCACAGAGAAATAGAGATGAAAACACGATAATAAAATCAAACATGTAAAGTATGACACAGTTTTATCATAATTGTTGCTGCTGTCTTGTTTAAAACCTTACAAAATAAATTTATTCTACGCAAATAAAACTGCTATGTTGTTTATACCTAGACCCTTCGGCCTTCTGGCTGATGTGAGGACTCGGGAGCTGTTGAGCGGTGTGTTATCAAAATGGTCATATAATAGTCTTTTAATCAAGTTTTTGCTTTTAGTTAAACAAATCACACCAAAAAAATACAATTATTAATACATCATTTAATTAACATTATAACAACAATGTTACACGATTTACGGATATTCATAAATGTGGCAGCTTAATTATGTATATGAAAAAGCAGTAACAATTGTAAAACTTTCTATGCAAGAAATTCCAAGAAATAATGATATCTTGCTAATTTACTAAAACAATGGATTTCATCTGGGTGGAATTTAATTTATTCACTATCGGTGTCAGAATCGATCACTACCACACAACGTATATATACAAATTGAGAGGGGGTGTGGATTCATTTTCTAGGAGATGATATCACTTTGAAGTGGGTGGTATATCCACGGACTGATATCAACTAATATAATATAAATTTAACACACATACAAAAACGGTATTATTAGTTGTAGAAATATGCAGAAATGCAATATAGTTTAATGTCAAGTCCCATAAACTATCATATCAATTATATGTAAGAAATTGAACACGGAAAAATAATGAGTTCCCGGAAGGATAATATGTTTCTAATATTATATTTTCCAGTCAAAAGCTTCTAAAGACAGTCAATCCACGATAAATTAAATTTTGAACAGATCCGTTTTTGCTACACCAATATCAAGCTGGATTTATATGATAGTACCTGAACAATGCAAGTCTCATTGATTTGACTTGTTTTATCAAACCTCGGACGACAAACAGTTGTTACACTAAGTATGTTGAATATTATCCTTTTGGAACAGCACAGATCTCTTGGAAACGTTTCATCAACTTACTCAATATGTATGTGTCCACCTCCTGCCAGAATTTTGGATCCAAAACATTAGTACTTTGTTATGTAAATGATTATTGAGTCACATAAAATTCATTGTAAATTTAAATTGCTATTTGATATAAACATAGTTACTTAATTGTGCATTATAAACATGAAATGTGAAACACAATAATAACAAATCGATGGAGAAAACCAAAGAAGTTGAAAATAATTTACATAACATGATTACCTCGTCCACTTCTGATCTATTGATATTGTTATCAAATCATTAATTAAAAAAATTATGCTTGAATTTTTCTGTAAAATGTAGAGAAACAAGAGAACTATACATATGTGTTTATAATATTATACAGTTACAACACGTGGATAGTACTTGGAACATTTCCAACTTTTAACATCACGTGATATGAATGACAATCAATTTCTATTGAAAGACTCTTCAGTTTCTATCAAACTATTTCCGTAAAATTGTCATATGCATTATCTACGTCAACAAGCTATCACCTTCCAATATTGCATATGTTGTTTACATAGGAAATGACACTTCTAATATAGGTCACAGACAAGTACTGTGATTCAGGCTTAACAGTATGAAGTGGCTTACAACGTCAACAACTACAACCTATTAATATCATTGTTATTAGGGAAATGGTCCACTTAGATATATCCTGATATAAGTTTCGATAACGCTTGAAAATTACTAATTAATTCTTCCCGGAAAGATGATCTAGTTAGATTAAATGACATTATGTTTAGAGAGGTCGATTTGCAGCTGATCACTATTAAATATTAAATTATAAGTTTTTGCTGTTATATATATAAACAAATAGTGTCAATAAAACATAACATAAAGTAATTATTTCACCTAGTTCATTAGTAGTGTTTAATATGATAAACAAGTGACATGGAGCAATTTTCTTACATACAACAGACATTGGCCATTGTTGTCAGTGACTTACCTGTAAAGTATCCGATAGTTGTATCATTGATCTTGTTTATTCTTATTTAACTTATAACTTACAAACTTTATAATTACAAATTAATTGAATAGTTACCTATAGGAACGACAGACATGACAAATTAAAGTCATCCTGACTTTGGGACAAGTCTGGTATTATAGAGAGTATAAAGAAGCACGGAAATTAAACACGGAAAACTAATTACTGCGTTTGAAAAAAGTTAATATTTATTAATTTTCTGTTGGAAGTAATAAACACATGCAAAGTGTGTTTCCCATAAGTAGTAGTATACGATATTTCTTTCATCCGAGTTAGTTATTCATCAAACGTTACAAATAACATGAGCCTTGAGGACGCAAATATGTGAGTACAAATCAAAGCGTGAAAACAAATTATGCAAAATCGATATCTACATCAGACAAAAAGTATACAACTGATGGAAATCTACTCGTTGGGGAAAATTAAAAAGCCTCAATTGTGATAAAAGCATAACAATCGTTACGATAGCACGTGGTACACACTGCTGGTCGGCAATAAATCCATGTTTGCCGTAACCTGCTTACTACGTTTAAATTCACTCGAATAGTGGCACGGTTCAGAAAATACACATGTACTTGACGCTATTCTAAAATTATCTGATGTTTATATTATTATAAGGTTGCTACACCTACCCGTCTAGATTTTGATTTTGATTTTGATCACTTTGGAATTTCCTTATTCGCCTCCTAAGCTTCATATTTTATGCCCTTGACATTATTGACGAGTCTTAGAAGGACGAAACAGCTGTCTTTTGTATAATCCACAATAACAGGTGAAAAAATCAAAATGTGCATACAATACAAAGCGATGCTTGAATAAAATCATCCGTTTACAAACGTCCGAAAATTCCTAGTATTTTTATTAAATGATTTGCTTTATTGGGTTTTAAAGAGAACCATTATATAGCATAGTTGAAATTGAAGAATGTAAATTCCGGCCTATATCACCGTAGAAATATACCATTTCTTTTCTGGTTGACAGTATATTCGTCGAATTGGACGGTAAGATCTTCAAACAGACTATTGATATTTGTTTTGTTTACTAATTGGACTTTAACAAAGACAGTTTATAAAGACCTTGCAAAGTCATTCAATATCACTTTCAGATATACTGATCACGTCTTGGTTTTAAATGAGAAAAAATATATTGAACTCATCCATCGCGTATAACCTCCAGAATTGAAATTCTACAACAGCCGTTTACCTTTATCTTTTCCTATAAGGAAACCAACACGGACCAAACTGTATAATACGCGTGATGGTTTTAATTTCGTTATTGTGAATTTTCCATTCCCACTTATGGAGTTTAAATGTGACAGATGATTATATTTTGAACGAACTCTTCCCAATATTAAGATTTTCTTAGAAGTTATCGTCAACTGACAGATAAACTCGTAAGTTTTCAAAAGATGGAGGTTGATAAAAATTTACGGGCAAGCTTTATCGTTGCCATAGTGACCTCATTATGAATATTCTATTTTTGTGCGATTTGAAGCTCGAGTTTGGCTGTTAGTTCCGATGTTGTATACCTTGTTCTCACCTGAGAACATGACATTACTAATGAAAAGTCTTTCTTCCTCACTTATGCAAACTGGATAATTCTTTCTAGACTCAACGTTTTATGAACTAATGGATATGGGTTACTGGATGGTGTAGATTTTCATTATAGAATATTTGAGACGGTAGATAGGTTTGCTCATTTGGCAGAGCATCTGTCTTTTTTCATACTTTGTTAACTTACCAATACAGAAAAATATGTTTTGCCGGTCAGGAATAAAACAAGTTATCAACATTGAAAAGTGCCATTTTGTTGTACTCCATCACAAAAAAAAATATTTTAAAATAAAAAGACAGGTAACTGTTATTTTATACATAATAGTTGTGCTACGCTTGGTACATTTAGGCCTGTTGTTCCATGGGGTTGTGTGTTAAACTCAAGTAGCAGGTGTAACTATATATCCTGAACGATGACAGACCTACATGTTGTGTCATGATCTAATCAGACTTAATTTCATGCGCAAAATAAACTGGATATTTTATTGTGAATAGGGACAAGAAGTATTGCAAAAAAATGACATTTTATTTAATTTGTGATACGAGACCTGTAGGGCTTCTGTAATAACTTGTCGTAGAGGTAAATATTATGGTTACACATCAAGCCAGAAAAGCAAATTAATTAATATAGATAAATAAGTCTTGAATTATTACACATATGTACTTGAAAATCGATGGAGCTGATTTTTTTAAAGATCTAATTATGCCCGTATAATCTGTTTTGATTTCTAATAAGGATGTTTTTTTCATTACGAACCCAGATATATGTCCATATTGGCAGAGCTTATTAATGGACAGTTTCGACAGAAATGAAAGGGTATGTAAAAGAATTCAATAGAATTAGAATTTACATATTCTTTCACACATTGATTGAAATGAGAGATAACATCACAGTACTAACACTGGTACAGACATCTACGCGATCAATATGCAATTTGATAAAATAATTTGTTTTTTAATATTAGAAGGAAGTTGTGATTTTCTTGGAGATTGAATGTTTGAATCTTCTAAAGTAAAGAAGTAAACGACAAAAATTCTTTCAGAAAAGAGAAATGGTGATGACTATCTTATTATTACATTATACAAATTACACCTAAGTATATATACCTATTACACTTTGGGAATCATTATATGAACTAAAGATTAATGTATCCATAGTGTCGCCCGGATCAGTCAGCGATAGGACTCCATAACTAAATATATCATTAAATGTTATTATTTAAGACTTAATCTATTAGCATTTATATTCTAAGTTCAACACAAGCGCAACTGTCTAGATTCATAGAAACACACCTGTCAAGGGCTACAAATGACACAATTTAGAAGTTAAATGACAGCTGTTTCCGTCATCGCCTTCAGAAGTCAACAACCGGTTATGTACTAATGAATTAACTACCACTCCACAAATATAGAAATGTTTTAAAACTATTGGTATGAAATCTATCGTACTTCATTTTGCGTTTTCATTTTGAGTTTT